GCTGTGGAGATTCGATAGTTTGGGGTCAATGAAAGGATGCTGGGAAAAGTGCACCTAACCATAGAAGGGAGCTTTCTTTGGTGACACTGTGATAAACTGGGCAAAGAAATTAGGAACCAAGGTGATGGAGACAAGACAGGGCTTTTTCAAGTGAGATAGATTTACGTTGAGAATGGAAAAAGAGATGCAGGAGAGAGAATTTCAGCCTAAGAACTGCTGCTGGGAAAGAAATAGGGACAAAGAATAATGCAGACTGAAATTAGGTGAAAAAGAAAGGGAAGGCAGGAAAATTATATGAACATCAGTGGAGTGCGCATATATTGAAAAAGAATGCAGAGGACACTTTCAAAATATTAAGGCATATAGAAAAGAGAGATAACAATACCTGCTTGAGATCATGTGTTCTTATAAATTGGATGAGACATAAAAATTCATGATGATTTGTCACATCTCTGCTATTAGCAAGTGATGTGCTGAAAACCTCAGATGACAAGAAGGCAGGATGCAAACCTGTGGTACAGTGAAGGGATACCCTTTTGCCAAGCTGCAACCTCCAGCTGCAGTGGTTAGGAGGTCTCCAGCCCTGCATGCTGACACCACTGTCCCTGCCAGTAGTTAGATGCTGAATTTAGAGCCAGATGGTCCACACTGAAGGCTGTAGAACAGAAGAATGAAATTGGGGGTATGAAAAAGAAATGGGGAGACTTGTGCAGCAAAGTAGTGTTGGCTTTCATGATCTCGCATATGTAAGAGGGATGGCTTACACAGGTACTTAATGAAGGAGCTCTTCCTGGAGCTAGGAGTAAATACTCTGTGCTGTTCCTCAAATTATCATCTTCTGCTTCAAGGCAAATGAACTGAGTTAGTTTTTAGACCACTAGATTTTAATGTCAAGCAACTTTGTGTTTTCCTCCAGGACAGCAGCAATATTTGCAATCACAGGATAAGGTTGAGCCTTGGCAGAATTTGGTTTGATTCTGCTCATTTTACATAGGAAAAAACAGAACAAGTTTTCACACTTAATGTCTGAATAGCCCTGCATGAGCAATATAGTTTCTTACACCATGTACAGAGGGCAGATTCCATCTATATAACAGCTTTCCAAGAATGTTTTTGGGGAATGTTTCCTTCAGGATCTAAAGGAAAAGCTAATTTTCTTCCTTATCTGTGAAACATCTCTCCAAGTAGATAAAAACTAATTATTTGTCTTGGCAGCCATCTCTAAAACTTCCAAGCCTGCCTGCAAATAATCCCACAACTGTGGTACTGTCCTGATTCCCACATTTTAGCATCAATGATTGATATGTTTAGAACATCAATATTAAAAAAATAAAGCATTCAAGTTCAGTTTATTGAGGCCTTCAGTATATTAAGACAGCCATCTCTTCCCATCACCCTGCAACATTACTGCCTGAAATAGGATCCAATCCCAAGAACCCACAAAGACCACCATTGCTCCAGAATGGGGTTTGTAGCAATTGCTAATCCTGTCTAGGTTCTGGCATGTATGCTCAAGCAAGTATTAAGAAACAAGAGGCAAGACTGAGGCAAATTTTTAGAACCAAGTCATTAGTTTCTTTTAGTAAGAAACTTTATAGCCTCCAAGCAAAAGTTGTAATTTTATGTTAAGCATAGTATCACAATAATTTAGGGCAGAAATGTCCTTTATGATCTAGTCCAAGCATTAACCTAAGACCATCAAGTCCACCACTGAACCATGCCCCTGTGCACCATATCTCCTTGTCTTTTAAAAAAATACCTCCAGGATTGCTCCAGCGATGGTGACTCCACCACTGCCCTGGGCAGCCTGTTCCAATGTCTGACAAACCTTTTCAGTGAAGAAATTTTTCCTAATATCCAATCTAAACCTCCCCTAGTGCTACTTGACACCGTCTCATCTTCCTTGTTGCTTTAGAGAAGAGGGATCACAGGACTCGAGGCATGGCCTCAGCAGTGCTGAATACAGGGGGACAATCCCTGCCCTGGTCCTGCTGGCCACACTATTGCCATTGGCCTCCTTGGCCACCTGGGCACACCCTGGCTCATGTTCAGCTGATGATCAGTATCCCCAGGTCCTTTAGCACTGGGCACCTTCCCAGCCACTCTGCCCCAGCCTGTAGAGATGCAATGGGGTTGTTGTGATCCAAAGGCAGGACCCAGCACTCAGCTTTGTCAAACCTCATAAAATTGGCCTAGGCACATTGATCCAGCCAGTCCAGATCTCTCTACAGAGCCTTCCAACTATCCAGCAGATCAACACTCCTGCCCAACTTAGTTCTGTCTGTGAACTGACTGAAGGTGCTCTCAATCCCCTCATCAGGTCATCCGTGAAGGTATTAAAAAGGACAGGCCGCAGTACTGAGCCCTGGGGAACACCACTTGTGACCAGCTACTAAAAGGATTAATCATTCCATGTTCTACTGGAATCATCCTTGATGAAGGGGAGCCAGCTCTCAGCACAACTCACCTGGACTGTCATGCAAGCAACACCAGACTAGGACTGCCAAATTCTGTAACCTATTTATTTTCAACTTTCAAATAGCAGTAGAAACTCTATTACTTCTCTTGTAAACAGATTAATAACTTCAGTTTTTCTTGCTGGAAAACTTATTGGAATATAAAATGTGCCAAAGTTATACTGTCTTTAACTCTCATTTATTCTATGCTTTAACTGACCTTTAACTGAGTTACTTTTTTACCTTCTTACTACCAAAATTATTTAACAGCAATAGGTATATCCCATTTTAAATTTCATTTTGGTAGGTTAAAAAAGTCACATTCTCTGCCTCATTCTTTGGAGTGTTTTCTGTACTTGTTTCAATCTAAATAGATGTATGTAAACAAGGAAGAAATAGAATTATATAAAATATTTCAGAGATTTCAGACATGCCTTCAATGTTAGCTGTAACACTTCAGTAATCCTACCTGGAACATTGCAAGATAAGCCCTAAGGTTATATTTACTCTTCCCATAGCCTCATGCCATTGTCAGGACTGCCTGGCAACATTAACAATTAGAAAAGGAAATGAGTTTACCATTTCTCCACATCTTGAATTCCTGTTTTCTTAACACTTTTTGGTCTGGAACACACTGGGTAGTGCAGAATGGAGGAGACTCCTAATTATTCCTAATTTCTCAAATATAAGTGTTCAGTTTGCTATTCTTCGTCACTTGGTATTCTAAACTCCACAAAGCTACTAGAAACGCCTTACTACTGGGCCTGGAATGAAATCTGATAGACTGTTCTTGCATAGATTGAGAAAATGAACTGGTTCTATTCTTACCATGTCTGAATCTTGATTTTTCAGTCCGTTTTATTATTTCTCCTCCTTCATCTTTATGATCAATCTGCCAATTCTCCATCTCATTTCCTTAATTCAAAATTAGAGCAAAGTACTTTTTCAGCTCTATTAACTTTTTATATTTATCTCACCTTGGTTGCTACTTTCATTTTTAGCTTAAGTTTAACATCTGCTTCTGATTCACATGACACAGTTCATTATACCAATCAGTTCCTTTTGCTCCATTTCTTGTAGAATCTTTATAGTCATGATAATATACATTGTACACCAGGTATCTGTAGGAATTTGGGAAACTTTCTAAAATTTTTACCATTATTTCACCTAAAAACTCCAGGCTGATTTTGTGTCTATTTAATATAATTTCTCACTTCCTGAGATCCAAATACTTAAATTCTGATTTCATGTAATGGCATGGATTCCTCAGAGTAGTTTTGCCTTTCATTAGAAATCTCTCTTCAATGCAAATCTGCTGATAGAAGCCCATATCAGATTCATTAAAATACTCTGAAAAAGCCTCATACCAGTTTTTCTTCAAGATGACTCTCAAGAATAAAAATGAGAAGGAAAAGCAAAGATAGCAATGCAATTTTTTTTTCTTCACAAAATGATATTCAGTCCTATTTATTCCAATGTGTTTTTCAATATCCATATTATCATGTTGCTGTTTCATTCCATTTCTGTTCTTCAATAGTAGTTTTAGTTCTTGCATTTCCATCCTGACTCTTCAGATGATAGCAAACACAAAGGAAACAAAACACATGCAAACAAAACAAAATAATTTCAGCTACATTTGATGTTGTTAAGTGTTGGTAAGTGCTGATAAGTGTTACATACAACATTTTTTCTCTCTGCACTGATCATCTAAATGTATTTTTGCCTCTCAAATACTTTCTATCTGCATTATATCAAAGTCTCTACTAGCAAAACCACTTTTCCAATAATTTGCTGCTTCATGCTAGGGAAGGAATATCAATACTTTTATTCCCTCACAAGAAAACACATTACTGAACAAATATGTCTTGTGCCATAAAAACCAGAAGGCAACAGAAAGGCATCAATGGTGGATGCTTTTTTTGCAGGTTTGTGTCCCCTTTCCCTGGACTACAGCTACAGCGCTGCAATGGGGGAACAATGTACTGCAGTCATGCGTTTTACTTAATGGAAGTCCATTTCTTGTTCTGTAACAAATCAAATCAATGAAATTCAATCACCTGCCTTAAACAGGCTGGATTAACTATTTCCTGAACTTCAAAATTGACACCTATTTTTTGTATCAGTTTAAATAAGACCTCCACGATATAAGTAAGAGGGTGAACAGCAGTACTACATTAGGGTATTTGTTACATTTCATCTTTCTTCTGCTGAATTTAGCCATATTAGCATGTGCTGCGTTCTGCTTTAATTATATCCCAAGTCTGTGTGACACCCAAGTCTCTTAGCCTTTTAAAAGAGGTTACTTCCTTTGCAAAACCAGCGCATTTTCTCAATTTAGCAGTCAATGACACTGCCGGAAAGTTTCTTTGATCAATGCAGACATGAATTGGCTGGAAGCACGTCCTAGGGAGCCCTTCTTTCTTCCAAGAAGGGAAGGGCGCAGAGGGGTCTGCGCGTCCCGCGTTCCCCGGCGATGGGAAGCGGCTCCTCCAGCCCAGCGCGCCCAGGCGGGGCTCCCGACGCCCATCCCGGGATTTTTATGGTTGAAGAATGACACGGAGATCTGGGAGCGGAGCCTGCCGTGCCTGCCAGGCGCAGCTCCGCCTCCCGGTCCCGGCTGCGGGGGTGGCGGGGCGCTTATCCCGGGACGGGGCTCAGCCGCGGGGTCCGGGACGGCGCCGCCGCCGCGGGCAGGTGAGCGGGGCGGGGGCTCGGGACGGGACGGGACGGTGGGTGGCGGGGGCAGGTCCAGGTCCAGCCGCGTTCCAGCACTCCCCTGCTTCAGCAGCGGTCTGCTCTTAGGGGCCCTTACCGCCAGATATTGAGGAAACCCCCGAGTCTTCGTGGTGTTGACGTTTGGGAATGTTAAATGACGTTTCCAGGTGAAGAAAAAAGACAAATGTAGGTGTTGGGCACTTACAGTATTTTACTTGTGCCTGAGCAGGACGAGTACCCGATTTGAAGTCAGATCCTGCTCCTTGTACACCCTCTTCATACACCCGACCATGTGTGCTCACAGGTCAGGAAATCCAAATACATCTTGGGCTGGATCCCAAGACTTGTGGCCAGCAGGATGAGGGAGGTGATTCTGCCCCTCTACTCTGCTGCAGGTGTGAACCATCACCGGGAGTGCTGATCCAGCTCTGGGGTTCTCAGCATAGTAAAGACATGGGCCTGTTGGAACAGGAATAGGGAAGATCACGAAGATGATCAGAGGACTGTCTTGAGAAGACAGGCTGAGAGAATTGGGATTGTTCAGCCTGATGAGGAGGAAGCCTCGGGGAATCTCATTTCAGCCTTTTAGTGTGTGAAAAGGACCTACAAGAGGGCAGGAGAGGGACTTTCTACACAGGCATGTAACCAGCAGGACAAGCGGAAATGGCTTTGAATTGAAATAAGGCAGTTTAGATTAAATATCAGGAAGAAGTTTACTGTGAGAATGATAAGACACTGGACCAGGTTGCTTAGAACAGTTGTGGATGCCACATCATTGGCAATGTTGAAGGTCGGGTTGGATTGGGCTTTGAGCAACCTGGGCTAGAAGATGTCGCTGCCCCATGGCAGAGGGGTTTGGAACCAGGTGCTCTTTAAGGTCTCTTCCAACCCAAACCATTCTATGATTTTATTATTCTTCTTGCTCTAAACTGCCACATTTCTTGAAACCAAACTGAGCAAGGATGCTCAGCTGGGGGTACTCCCTAATACCCACATGCTCAATCAAACACAAGTGGGAATTCAGTTATTCATGTTTGCTAAGGCTGTAAATGGGAGTGTTCTGGATTTAGCATCCTCAGTGTGTGAAAAAGGTAGAATGGCTGCAAAATCCTGGGAGGCTGAGGCCAGTAATGGCCAATAGTGTCTGCCTGGAGGGACGGTTCATTTTTGGGATGGATGTGCTGAAGGTGGGGGAAGCTCTACAAACACAGGAGGGTACAAGATGGGTGGATTTATGGAGATAAATAAAGTGGACAGTGGCAGAGTGAGACCAGGAAGAGAATTATTTTCCATGGAACTGCCACAAAATCTCTAAGAAATACAAAACTGGAATTTCATTTACACTGAAAAGCAAAAGGCAGAATTGTAATTGTTAGATGATTGCCCTCATGAAACAGAACAATTGAGTTTGAGCAAAGAGTAGGAGCCTGCCACAAGAAAGCAAGTGTCAAAAAATTCTCTCTCCGAGACTCTTCAGTTACCTTACACTTGCTTCTGTGTAAAGCATCTTCTCACACTGATAAACTTATTGCCAAGAGCAAACTAGTGAGCAGGACCAAGAATATGACTCTTGGTCATGACTGAAAGCCAGCTACAAGGTTTTAATTTTAATGTAATAAGTCTCTTGTGACAGCTTTGTTCTTCCCTGGGATTATAGTGTTGTTAAGATTATCCTTATCAGTAAATGATGCTTCAGCAAGACCTTAGGATCTGAACAACTTGTACTACAGGAGACTTTTGTTGAAAGGGGAGCTCCTCTCTAAGTAGGGAGACAGTAGTTCTGTCTTTCTCCATCATGATCTGTAATTTTACACTGTACATACAGTGATTACTCTGGAATTTGATATGCTTTAGAGGTGGAGCCCAAATATCTCACATGTCAACACACAAGTTATTCTCTATAAGAACAATGAAATCACTCAGAACAGTAACTTCAAGTCCATCACTAGATAAGATAAGAAAAATGTAGAGAATTTAAAAAATGTTTGTTTGGATTTTTTTGTTAAATATGACGCTATACTCACTTGTTAACCTTTTAGATGATATTCAGTATTGAAATATGTTGGAGTTGCTCATGGTTAAGGTTTGATAAAAGCAGAAGAGAAATGTCTCTCTTAAATTTGACATTTGGGGCAAATCAAAGCCATTATAAAGAAATGTGTTTACTTTGTGGTAGCACTCCTGCATTGTCTTCTAGTGCATAATCAAGGAGATTGTTAGTAACAGGCTTGCAATAGGCACTCATATAATTGTAATAATTTCATATATGGTGTTTGATAGAAAGACTGCTTCAAAATTGTATTTGAGGTTTCTGCAGGGGACTGGTGAGACATAGCCAGCAGAACATGGAAAAATTTATGTCCTGTCCTGCTGTAGCTCCTTGATATACTGACAGTAGAGGGATGCATTTACCATGTTGGGCTTGCATCATATAGTCCAAATACCAGGATCCAGATTTTAGTGACTGGAATTCATTCTTTTCTTATGAAATATTGGAGGTAGTCTGTAACTGAACTATGAGAGCAGTAACTGAATCATGGTTGAGTACCCAATTTCCAGAAGAAGCCATACTGCCTCTAGTTTTTCCTCAATCAGTCAATCATTTATTCTTTTTATACCCTTGTATTCAGCTGGAATGATGTTGAATTAACTTGCATCCCACCCATCCAGCTTATTGGTGGAAGGCGTGTATATACAGGAACCCTGTATATACACAGCTACTTTCAGATATCTTTGGTCAAATCTGTACTGTTAAATCTGTTTTATAGGTTTTAAAAAAATACAATTTTGCACATTGCTGCATTTTGCTTTCTTTCTAAAGCTTTTTTTCTGGTGTCTATATTGAGCTTAAAATCAGAAATTAATAATATGTTAATTTGTACTGTAGTCTGTGAGCTAACAAAGTTAAGGATAGTGGTTTTCCAGCTAGCAAGTAATTTTCTGCTACATAGCAATTGGGTTGGAGAAAGAGGAATCAGTGGAATGTTACATTGTTAAAACTGATCAATGTAAACATCCTATTAATATTAGAAGAAAATTCTGAAAATGCTGAATAATGTAGGACCAAGATTCAGTTCTTATTTGGTAGAGAGTTGAACACTGATGGATACTTTGTTGTCACGCTAGTCAATGACATCATTCTTTGCATATGTGCTCCATGTCAAAGAAATTTATTTTTTAATAAGAATGTCAAGTAGCATTTGTAATATACGTGCATAACACCCATATGCCAACCTAAGTTTGGGCTGTTCCCAAGAGAATTTTGCTTGTGCCAGCATTTTCACTGTCATCCCTTTAGCAGGGAGCCAGGAGATGCTGAGGGAGAGCAGGCTGGGGTAGGAACATAGAGTGGAGCACTGGTGGAAGGACGACTTTCAAGTAGCAGCTCATGTGTGGCTTAAAGTGACTCTTTAAGAAGCTGTTAAAACTATACGTGCATGAAACCTGTACAAGCTATTCAACCTCTAATGTCTTCAAAGAATGGAAGTGAATTTGTTTACAAGGCCTGTTTCCCAGAAAATAAGAGTGAGTGGCATCAGTTAGCAGCTTCTCAGTTATCTTGCCAGAAGTTTATCTGGCTGTTCAGTCTGCAATTACTCATGCTTGGGGACTTTGGAATCATCTTAAATCTTGTTGGTAGATTATACTATCTCTTGTTCATCAGTGATCTGTATATCCAAATTAATCCCCATATCATATAGAGGTTATTATTGATGCACTTGTTATGGATATGGACATTTTATCTGTGATTTTAAACACTTTTGCTGCTGGCTGTAGTAGTCTGTGTTCCAGAGCTGAACACCCAATAGCAATACAATATCTACTCACTTTCTTCACTCTGTGTTGCAGGATGAACAAATTATTCCAAATACAGTTCAGTATTTCTGATTCAGTAGCCTGAGGCAAGCCCCCTTAACATGGCCTTCACCTGGGCTCTGTCAGCATAGAGCTTTGCATACGTTGAGGATTTGTAGTCCTTGCTCTTATCAGAACTTTATAAACAATAACTTACTATAGAGTAGCACCACGCCATCAGTTTTATCCTCCTTAAACACTGTCTAAACAGATATTACTTTTTTTCTTTCATGTTAGTGGTACAATCTCTTTTCAGTAAAAATATCTGGATTTTCCTATATCTTAGAGAGGCACCAGTCATCAGGATATAAACAATTCTATATTAATTCTTGTTACATTTTGTCATACTGATTTAATTTGTTTTTACAACATTGATCATCTTTTAACACAGTGCTTGCTTCCTTTTTGTTTGCTATCCTTGCAGCTTGTGCTCTACCTATGAAACTGCCTTTATCTTAAACCAAGAGTTTTTGCACTTCTATCTTCTGATTCTCTTACCCATCTCTCTGCAGTGGGGAGCGAGCGAGTGACTGTGTGGTGCTCAGCTGCCTACTGGGGTTAAACCAAGTGGTCTTTTTTGGTGGCCAATGTGGAGTTCAAAGGGTTTCAGATAAGGACAGGTTTCATTGGGTTGTGTGAGACCAACTGTATATCTACTGCAGCTACTCATTCTGCAGGGCTTGTCATGGGGCTTGCTTGCCTTGATGCATGTTAGACTCTAGTGCTTGTTCATGTCTGCTCTCCACTTTTGCTGTTTGCTGTACTCCTTGTCATCTGTAATTCTGAAGGGAGCTGTGCCTTATGCCAGCTGTCCCCTATATTCTACCCAAAGCTTCAAAGAAGGAAAAGAGAAGTGTACAGCAGGTTTGCTCATATAAGTACCCCACTGAACAAGTAAAGTCAGAGAAGTCTGAGCTTGCTGTATTTTCTGATCCTGGTGCTGACTTTGGCACTTATGATCTGTTTCTTGTAGGTACTTGTTCTGGTGGTGGAGCTCATTAAACAAGTAGCAACCTGACTGAGGCAAAGAAAATCTGTATTCAGTTATGGAGTAGTGAGCTGGATTGCAATGTTTAAATCTCTGGCTAATTCTCAAGAATCTTTAAAGCAGCCAGTGATGCTGGAGTGCTCTTGCATTCCACTGTAACCACTGCCTGCTGTCAGGCAGGCAGGGTCAGCTGTAGGAATGAACTAAGAAGTTGCATGTGGAAAACATACCATGGAGCTCTTCTGGCCTTTGCTAGGGCTGGAACATCTGAAAGAAAGATGTGTTGTATGGATGAGGGGTGAAAAGCTGCTTTTCCTGGTGTTAGTAGCAGTACCAAGTGTTGTCCCAGACTTCCAGGCCTTGTGAAGAAGCCATGACTGCCTTGGTTTTGCTGCTGTCCCTTCAGCTGCGCACTCCCCTGCTAAAATATCATCCACTTACTCTCTTTTGAGAGAAATCATCTGATCAGCCATGTTGCAGGGATCCTGAGGCTTTGTTGAGCTCCAGTCCTTCTTGTTTCAGCCCCTATTCCATAAATATGTGGACAATCTCCTAGTCAGCAGCTATCTTAGCATGACAGAGAGACACAAAATGTTTGAACCTGTGCTGTACCAAAATAAGGATCAGGTGTATTTACAGAAACCTGTTTTTGTAAATTAAGAAACTACAGCTGTTTTTATTTTTTTTTTTTTCCTTTTTTTTTTCTCCATGCAGGACAAGATAGGGTGAAAAGAATCCTGTGCTTCAGGACAGTTACCAATGACCAGCCTCAGCTTCCTTTTCTATGCACTGGAAGAATGGACTGTTGTGGAGTTCCTGAAGAAATACCTTTTTCATCTGATCATTGCCTCACTGACAATTAGTGCAATATTAGTTTTTTTTATAGTTCCTTTAACAATTGTGGTTTTCATTTACCTTACTAATATTTTGCTTTTAATATATCAGAGGAACAATGAGTTAAAAGCAGATCCCTTGAGTGATGTTTGGAATCGTGTAAGAAAAACTATAGCGAGCTTTTGGGATATATATGCAAGAGTATGGCACGGTAAGTACAACATGACTTGTCTGAAGCATTGAATTACAGTAAATGATAAAAACACAGAAGTTTTCATTTTTTCTTCCATATGGAATCAAATAAGTTACATTTATTATACTTTGTATGGCTTCTTTGAACAACCTGCAGTATAAAACTTTCTCCATGTGCTCCCAGGACTCCATCTACTCCCATCCCATCCAAATGGCTCATGACAGGAGCTGTAGCAGGGATGGAAATGAAGGCAGACAAGGTGGAGAAGAACTCTTAGTTGGCAAAAGCTGTATCTTTCCCAAGCCTTTGTATATATTAGCTTCTAATCTGTCTCCACCTGAAACCTGAACCAAATGTAGGAAGAGTCATGACAAGGATTAATAGAAGTGCATGTCTGTGAGGAAATTTCCTCCCGCTGTGAAGTGAATATATTTAACTCTTGGGGAGAGAACCTCTCTTTGGGATTCTTAAAGATTATGGTTTCAAGTTAAAAATCTCAACTTCTCTAAAAGAGGAACACTTTATTATGGAAAATCCCAAACTCTTCACTTTCATTGACACAGAATGGAGAGTTATACTTCCAGATTTCAGGAAAGTATCCAGACTGCTGGCCACTATTTCTGAAAATGAAGCATTTTCACACTAGTTACTAATTTTTTTGAAAAAGTATTATTATTGTACTATTTACAAAAAGTTCCTAATGGGAAATAATAGTTTGAGTTCCCTCACTGGGAAAAATGTCAGGTGCAGGTCTGATCTCATGATTAAACTGACCAACAAATCAGTCTAGTGATATGCTGTGGTCTCTGAGGGACTTTCTCTGTGCTATTGACCAAAAGATCCATCCAGAACTTAATTATTTTGAAAGTTACTACAGAGGCTTTCACAAGTCTCTGAAGGTCACTTTACAAAGTAAAAAAGTTTTCTCTAAACTGTCAGATGATTTACAGATATCATTGTCAGTGTATTGCTTTCCATCCCAAACAGGTTATGAGCTTCATGGTTTGAAAAACCTCCCAGAAGGACCGGGTATTCTTGTGTATTACCATGGAGCTATTCCTATAGACTACCTTTACTTTTTGTCTAGACTGTTTCTGTGGAAGAGAAGACTTTGCCTGTCAGTAGCTGATCATTTTGTGTTTCGTTTGCCAGGTAAGAATGTGTTCTCTTGTATTTAAGCTTCCTGGATTCACCTAACTGGTGAACTTTACATTTCCTACACTTGCAAGAGAACTTTTAAACTAAAAGACTGCTTTTAGATTTTAAACTAAAAGTTGGTAGATGTAAGAGGACAAACAGAGTAGCATATCCTATCTTTTCAGTGAAAACATTGGTAAATCCTCCAAAGTCAACAAATAGACACATTATCCTTTTGGGATGGAATGTCATCCCTCAGTAGAAAGTGCTGGATAGAACTCTACTATTGACCTAGTGAGGACTGGTCAGGAGAAGATACAGAGAAGCAAAGATAATTCAATTTTAAAAAAACAAGCCATAAAGAAGAGCATCCAGAAGGAATAGCAGGGGAATTATTTAAAGGCATCTTTATGCCACTAATATTGAAAGCTGTTTTAATATAGACAATAGAGGAAGCTATTTAGAAGGACACTATTTGAAAAACAAAGTTTTCCTGAAAACAAGTATTATAAACTCCAGTATATTTGATGCTAAAACCATATTCAGACACTCCTAGAAAGATTACAATAATTTTAAGTCCTATTTAGTAAATGCTGTGTAGTACTGAGCACATGAGAAGTAAGAAGTCATCAAATTATGATTGGCTTTTAAGAGTACCCTCACAAAAAGAGAGTTTAGCAAAACGTTGCAAAGCAGACTCCTTTCTTAAGGGTTAAATAAGAGGGTACTGTTCAAATTGAAGTGTCCTTAGCACAGATTTTTATTACAAATATAAAATACACATTTATTAAGACTAAGAAATGCTCTCAGCTGTGCAATTCCCGGACTACTGGTGTGTACATAACATATTGATTTCATTATGTTCATGCTAGAGCAACAAAAGGTGGCAAATGCTGTGTTAGCCTTCAAAAAGGCTGTAAAAGGACATCTGCTAAGAAAGACTTTAAATAATTGAAGGTAGACCTCCTCACTGCATTACCAGAAGATGTGGCTAAAAGTGATATTCCTCCCTAACCTTCTTTTGCTCTACTATGCTTACTTTTTGCAAAGAAATGTTACACTTCCCAGACTGGTTCTTTAAAAAATGCTAATGAGCTGGACCTCAGTTCAGTTTATTTACAGGATTAATTGCAGTTACAGGAGAATTCTTCTTGTGAATTAATAACTCTCTTTATCTCAGAATAGCTGTTAGTAATAAAGTAATAGCTGCTTAAGTAATAAAGTTACAAAAATAAAAGGATAAGGATGATTCAGAGGTGTGGCATGGCTTCCCTTGAAGAGCTAGGACATCAGACAGAAGCCTGGCATCACTGAGGTTTAAAAAATTCCATGAGACCTAGAAAAGGGGAATAAGAAGTAGTAATATTTTCATGTGAAATATTATAATTCTCAAAAGTTTTAAAGCCAAGCAAATGGCTTAGCTTAATAACAATATGGCATTCCTGACTTGAGGATGAAACAGAAATGAGTTCACAAAAAGATTAAACAAAGTCAACACCTGTCTTTGACAGAAAGATCTATCAAGTATGATGCCTTGAATAAGATGAAATACAATTAAATTACAGGATTCAGCACTGTGTTACCTATTGTTTTCCAATTTTTTTGTTGCAGACCTCTGTCAGTCCAGAGCTGTTGCTTCCATTTATTAATATAAAAAAAAATATTTTCAAACTATGCTCTTTGAACAGGGAACTTGAATTTTGTGGAAATGCTTGTTTGCTTTCTATCAGAGTTGCAAACTGATATATTTGAAATATCAAGATAAAATTAGAAAGCATAGAGCACTCCTATGGCTCTGTTTTTTAGAGAAATCCCAGTTATGGAAATAGAGGAAGGAGATTTGCTGTGGTGAATTTATTCATGTGGTGCTGAAATAGCCCTGCTAGTTTCTTTCATTCATGCATCTTGAGAGTCTTAAAGCCGTTCAATTTGATCCACATAGTTTGCAATTTAACCACAAAATATTCAATTAAACAACTCAAAACCTCAATCTTTAAAATGCTAAATGTTACATTTTAAAAGAAGACCAAAATAGTAGCTTGTCAAGTGTTTATTTTTGTAGTAATCTTTACTGTACTGATTATTTTTCTGTATTAAAATATATAAAAAGAAGGAGAGAGGAATAGATGCTTATTTTCTGATTTCTAGCTATGACATACAAGTTTTGCTTACATAACTTGATTAATAATTATGAAAGATAGCATGTGGAAGCATTTTTTAATTTAAATGTTCCTGACATGATGGTCAATCTTCATAATATTTGGGCAAAAATATTGTCATGTATTTATAATTTTGCCAGCATTTACTCTATATGTGTCCTACTTCCTTCATAAAAATTTGTCTTAGCCTAAATATATGGTTACTAGATTTTAATTTAGCTGTAATCTGATGCTGCAAACAGCATTTTGGATATATATTGTTGTATTAAATGTACATTTGCTCCTTATTTATTTCAGGACTTAGATTATTGTTGGCAGTGACGGGTGTTATACCAGGTACGAGGGAGGAGTGTCTTGATGCCCTGAAGAATGGGTACTTGGTGTCCATCTCACCAGGTGGAGTTCGAGAAGCTCTGTTCAGCGATGAAAGTTATCAGCTTGTGTGGGGAAATCGAAAAGGCTTTGCTCAGGTCGCTCTAGAAGCAAAAGTGGTGAGTGCCGTACTTTACCAATCCCAGTCTGTGCTTTCTGCATATCTGCTTCATTAAAAAATGCAGCTTAGGAGCATCTGTGGGAAAAGCATCTATCTGTGGTTCTATGTCTACAGTTCCATCATGCAGACATCCAGTGTTTCATCTTGACTGTATTTCAGAAATCTTCACTGTGGTCCTTCTCCATACTGCTCTAAGGTTTCATTATTTTTTCTTATCCTAATAGACTTGCATCTTTATCTTACTTTCACATATCTAGTAATTTTCTTATGGCTCTTTAATGTATTATCCGTATCTTTCTTCTCATTTATTCTGTGAGGGTCTAGGATTTTGTCCTTACCTTTACTTTTCTTCATGTTTGTGGAAGATTGCATCAACTAACTTAAGGTGTGTCTACATCAGTGTCTGAGTTTGAATCGTGGGCACTTTTGAAGCAGATTGTGTATTTCTCTCACCATGCTTTCATTCACATTAAGGAACATGTTAGAATACTGAAGCTGCATTCCTTCTGGCTGAAACGAAACCAAAATTGTAACCTAATACTTCAGTGTCAAATGGTCTTCAGCCAGTGGTGCCAAACAAGAATTAGTTCTAGATAAAAACAGTACACTGAAATTTGTTCAGTGTGGATGTCATATTCTCAGCATCCTCTAGATGTGCACTTCTCTTGATTTGCACTCCACCAATGTACTCATGGCCAAGGTTTCAGTTAGTTTCCATATGGATGATCTACAAATGCAACCTTCTATCATTGGCTGTGACTTCTTATAGCTAAATATACTTGGGAGACTGTTTTTGGGATACAGTCTCTGGGAAATTATTTTGTTTGGCACGAAGCTGAAAGAGCAGCAAACCTGTATTTTTTTCTAACTGCCACTCCTCATCATCATCACCACATCTAGACACAAGTTTTCTGCCTTAATTTAGACTTACCATACCTAGTGATTTTTGTGTCTGACAATACTGGTGCAAATCCAGCTTCATCTGTTCTGCGATGCGCTTTCTGCTGCTTTCTCATGAACTGCACAAGCATCACTTTTTCATCACATTCTAATGAATATCTCATCACTTGCAGTGCTCTTTGATCTTCTACATAAAGCTTTCTGTCTATATAGGAGAAGTTGTATAGGGAGTTGAGTTCTTCTCATGAAACTTTAATTTCTTAACATCCCTTTTTGTGTAGTTATATCTCTTTTGCACCTCATCTGATTTGTTGCTTCTCAAACTTTGTTTTGGTCACTTGTGCTATGGCTCCTAGTAGAAAGGATCTGAAGTTGCAAAATGCATGCTTCAGGTTAATATTTCTTCATAAATCTATCTCTAAATTATTGTTGGGAGATAATTAAATACTAGAATAAACTTAGGGGCATTTACCCAATGGATAAAATAATTTTAGGCCTGGAATCTTGTTTCCACATCTTGTCTTATATGGCCTTTTAAAAGTCAGGTTTTATGTGCTTCTGTTCCCTTTCCCATCCCTTTTTCTCAAAAAGGTAAATGTTAGTCATAATACTTCACATACTGTGTAGGCCTGTACACCACCACTACTGGGAAAGTACCAGAATGTGAATGGGATAAACTCAGTCAAATTCATATGGGCATCTTGAGTTCCCTAATAGTCTTCTTGTGTATTAAATGAATAATATGCTGAAACAGTTAGAAAGAGTTGTCACTTAAAAAACTCAAGAGATTTCTATTGATTTTTCTTTCATCTGTCTTTCAAGCTACTCCAAACATCTGGATGAACTTTTGCCAGATGTTTTCCCTTCACCTGGAACCTTACAGTAATGCAATGTAACAAGTTGTGGATTTTTAAATAGAAATTGAATTAAAAACTGAGTGCCCTAACATAGGTTGACACCCTGATCAAAACACATCACAAGAATCCTTGCCAGTAATTCTCCTAATTCTGTTAGTCTTCGATAATATAGAAGCACATGGAAATACCTGACTAGTAGTACATAAAATTGTTACCTCCTTTTCTTGACCGAATTTGTGTTTGGTTTTTGATGGGGGTTTAAAAAATTTTATTTATTGCATTGGGTATTCTTTGAGGGTAAGGTTCTTGCAGTGTGAAAGGGTCTTGTGGTTTTTTATGACTGGGAAGTCTGACTAGATCCCTGTATGGCGGATGTTGCTGTAATTAGCTTGCAAGCTTCACTGAAATTTGGGCATCATTGATATTTCTCTGGGAATCTGGAATCAGGCAAACCTTAGATAACTAAACACTTAAAAAACACTGTGCATTTAACAGTAGAGGGGGAATATTACATAAAGTTAGGTCCACAGTAGTCACTGGATCTCATCTTTTGACACATTTCAAGTTTGGTTATTTGTTCCAGCTGCATTCTTTTCAATACTAGCCAGATTAGTCTTCCTGGTTAACCAAAGACTGGGGTGTGGTGGATGCCAGGCACCCATCAAAGGCTCTCTCACTGCCCTCCGCAAGTGGACAGGGGAGAAAAAATAAAGCAAAAGATTCATGAGCTAAGATAAAGACTGGGAGAAATCACTTACTGAATACCATTATGGGCAAAGCAGACTCAATTTAGGGATATTAATTGTATTTATTGGCAACAAAATCAGAGCAAGACAATGAGAAGTAAAGTAAAAGTCTTAAAACCACCTCTTTACCCACTTCTTCCTTGGCTCTACCTCCTTACCTGCAGTGGCACAGGCAGATGGGGAATGGGGGCCATGGCCAGTTCATCACATGTAGTTTCTGCCACTGCTCAAAGAGGAGTCCTTCTCCTGTTCTAGCGTGGGGTCCATACCACAGGAGACAAACTTCAAATTGCATCCATCCCCTGGGCAATAGATTCTCCATGAACATGAGTCACCCTTCCACAGGGTGAAGTCCTCCAGGCACAGCCTGCTCCAGAAGAGGGTCCCCCTCAGGGCCACAAGTCCCTTCCAGGAAACCTGCTCTGTGGGCTTCTCTCTCTGTGGGTCTGCAGATCACTGCCAGGAGCCTGCTCCAGCACTGCTTTTCTACAGCTACACAGCCCTCTTTCAGGCACCCATGCTCTGGTGTGGGCCTCCTCTATGGACTGCAGATGGATCTCTCCATTGCTATGGTCTTCCGTGGGCTGCAGGGACACAGCTGCCTCACCATGGGCTGCAGGGGAAATCTCTGCTCTGGAGCACCTCCTGCCCCTCCTCCTGCACTGACCTTGGTGTTTGCAGGGCTGTTCCTTTCACATTTTCTCACCCTGTTCTTCTCTCTGCAATTACATATGCACAATAAATATTTTCCTTCTTAAATATGTTACCACAGAGGATATGATATTCTGGATGGCTTGGCCTTGGCACACAGCTAATCCATCCTGGCTGACACTGGCTCTGCCAGACATGGGGAAAGCTTCTGGCAGCTTCTCACAGAAGCCACCCCTGTAGCTCCCCCTCTACCAAAATCTGGCCACAAAAACGAAGTACACTGGGGGTAGACTCATCCAGATATCAGAACTTGTTCTATTATGTAGCAATTAATATCAAATTGCTAATAGTTACTCAGATATCATTAATAAAAGCAAGATAGAATTATAAGGTTATTTTAAAAGTTTTTCTCCATACAGTGTAGCCCTTAACCAAAGAACTACACACATTTTATAAAATGACTACATGCTGGTTAATAACCTGTCTCAGATTACTTTAATGGGGATTTCAAGACAAAACCTACTTTATATATGAATAGACATTCCCATCCATCATACAATATTACAGAAGTTCAATAGTTCATCCCCAGAAAAGTTGAAGAAAAGCAAACAAGGAAGGTGGTTTCAGCCTCAGTCCTTATCTGTAAAGTTTCCACATTTGTTTCCACTTCATTTTGTGCAACTACTCTGCTTAACAGGAGTCAGAGTATTGCTATTTAATGTTATGACTCAGTGTATCTCTGGGATATGTATTTGTCTCAGTCAAATTCATCCATGACTTTCAGAAATACTCTGTCTATGGCTTGGTTTTAACTGGCTAATGGGGAGGAATGATTATTTCTGAAGCTCCCTGAATTTTATCTATGCCAAAAAAAATTCCCTCAGGTTTAGTTAGGTGAAAAATAAACAGGAACTAGATTTATAAAATTCTCTTGTATGGGCAAGGGGTTTGGACTACCTGATCTCCAAAGGTCTCTTCCAACCTCTAATATCCTGTAATTCTGTGATTTTCAAGCTGGCTGGGGATGATCCAGCTTAGTTCCAGCACAGCAAGTATAAATGTGTTGGTTACTGCAGGTCTGGTTGTGCTCCTTTAAAAATGTAAGAGTTTATGTGCATACCTGTGTTTTCCAGCTTAGGGATTGAATGTTGCTGCCTACCCTGCACCTCAGTTGCTGATTGTTGTATGAGAGTAGCTTCTGTAGTTGCCAGATTTCTTTATAGACTACCATATGTTTCTCTTGTGCTATTCCTAAAATTTAAAATATTTTGTCTGTGTGACAGATAGGTTTCAAACATTTTACATTTTAGATGTACAGTATTCAAATAATAGGTGAAACAAAGTGTGGTAGTTTTAGTGTCCAGTACTTATATATTTTAAAAAGAAATTACTGATTACTTTTTAAGGGTTTATTTCTAACAATTTCTCTTAAGGTTGCATTCTGAAAGGTTTACTATTATAGCCTTATGCATGTTTGATACTTTTTCTCTCTCTCAGGTATTTTTTCCTTTTAATGCTTTCTATCACTATGAGTTATTTGGTAGGCTCTAGTTAGGTCTTTTTCTTGTTTGTTTTTTTCTCATCCTGCAGCTTCTGTTCTGTGGTAGTGATTCTTAACAGCACAAAATTCTTCCTTCATTACCTTCTGGACAAGTTGTTCCAACAACCTGTTCAAACTAAAATTTCAGAAAAAGGAAAAGGGACAATAGAGGAGAAAAAAGTCTTTGCATATAGGGATACAACTACTGTCAGTCTGTCTACAAACTACACAATCCTACTTCAGGCTGTAAGGCATGACTGTTTCAAGCAGGTATCTCAAGCGTGTCTCTTTTCAGTTACAATGATGAAGTGAACTTGTTCTGTAAGTGCCTAAGGATCTGCCTGCCAGAAGGTGTGTAGCCCAGGTCAGTGAGGACACACAATTGCCTCTTTTTGTCTCAGGGATCTGAAGAAGTCTTTTCCAGTGAAGTTTTATCCAAGCATTACTGCTTCAGTTAGACCCTGTTTGAGAAGCAGATGAGATGAGCCAGCCATGAATGTCTGCTTGCTTTCTGCAAGACTTCACAAACTGAATACTTTCCTATTCATCACTCACGATGAAAGCTTTAGACAAAGAAACCATGGAAATTTGTTTTATGTTCCAGTCAGTGATATTGCAGTAAATATGTAACACAGAGGTTATATAAAACCTAGTACAATGTCAGTCATTTTATTTACAGATAGTGACTTTAAAACAGATGCTTATGGCAGCTGAAAAATAGCATTTTATTTCTACTCTGGAGTTTTTAAAATCAAGATTCCTTGTTTACTACTTAACTGACTGGTAATTACCCTCTGTATTTGAGTGATTTTCTTAGCTGCATTAACAAGAACTACATCAGAAATTCAAACCTGGTATAACATTTCCACCTTTTTATTTCTTTTTCTACTTCTTTAGCCCATCATTCCAATGTATACTCAAAATGTCCGTGAAGGCTATAGGATGTTTAAAGAAAGAAGTAAGAAATTAAAAATATATTTCATGTATTTTGAATGTTTTATCTCTTTTCTCTCAGATTTATCTTGCTTTTATCTTAGATTTTGCTTTTCGGACTTCTGCTTACTTGGATTCTCTAACACTTGCTGGGAGTCAGAGGTAGCTCAAATTTGGAAATAGCCTGTACATAACTGGTTTGTGTGACTTAGTTCTTTAATGCAGGCTTATTTCTTTGCTCTATTAAGTCTATCAAGCTTTGTTTTGGTGGACAATTGCTTCAATCATGTAACTTCCTGACTATCATATAAAGCATGGATTTGTAAGAAGTATTCTACATGAATCAGATTTCATGTTTGAATTGTGTTTACTGTGACTATAATCTCATTTTTTCCTCCCACAAACCATTTCAGGATTTTTTAGGCAGTTATATGAAAGCACTCGATTGCCTTTTACTCCTCCATACGGAGGACTTCCAGTTAAATTTCGCACATACATTGGGAAGCCAATCCCTTATGACCCGAATATAACTGCAGAAGAATTAGCTGAAAAGGTAAGTTCTCTCTCCTTGCAATATTGAACTACATACTTTGCTCTGTACTAATAGGTGCAGTTTTTTGCATGCTTGAATAAAGACAAATATACTTTGTCTTTATTACTGTCTTTATTATATGCTATGGGCAGTTGAGGTTTGGGATCATTTAATGTATAAATACCTGCCAGTAAATATTGGCATAGTAACAGTTGATTTGGATGCCCTCATCTTTTCCAAATGTATGAGCTCTGTCTCCTTGTTAACTTTGTTTCTCCCGTGCCTTTGATAACTTTGATAATAATTATAATAACTGAAATGACATAAATGATGTTTTAAATGCAGTTTTCAGTAACTATGAAAATAAATTTAATCAGTAGCAAATAACTTTGAGAATCTTCACCAAATAGCATAGGGCTCTAGAAGCGAAGTTCTTCAAGAGCTTCAGTCTCATTGTCAAAGTGAAAATGTTAAGAAGTTGAATCCAAAATATAAAAATATGTCGAGTACCTACAGTTTGCTGAAACTAATGATGCCCAAGAGCATAAAAGTATTTATAGATCCAGAGTTTAAGCATTTTTCAAAATATAAAGCTAAACTGAAAGTATAGCTTTAAAATTTTTTACGGAAGATGAAAGGAGGATTTTACGAGAAAAAACATCTGCTACAACCTAGAAATACACAAACAAATCAGCTCTCGGAAATCGCTTGCTAAAAAACACCTTGCTGCCCCCAAAAAGATACTGGCTTTTCTTTTTTCAAACAAGGCTGGCTTTTCTTCTTTTGTTTTCTTTTATCCTTTTTCAAGGGTCTACTACAGGTTGTGCTGAGCTTCACAAAAGTGAAACCAGAAAGACAGTTTGGTCTGTTACAAGGGAACAGCCCCAGCGAGCTGTAGTTTACTCTTAGCACCTTTAGGAGGCTGGAAGCAATGTGACTGCCCTTATGGCTATTCATATTCTTGTATTTTAGGGGAACAGTATTTTGTGTACCTGCAAAAGTGAAATTGAAATTTCCCATTATATTGATTTACCTTACTAAGGCAAGTGTTTGACTGCCCCTTTGACCACCACCCACTTTGGTGGGAGTACAGTTAGGTCTTCTGCGGCTGATATTACTTTAAAAAAAAGGTAATTTAAATGAGGTTTGAGGTGAGCAGTGGCCTGGCTGACCTTTGTCTGATCCTGCCCTGCAAAGGAGATAGGACATGAATCTATCAGGAAAGGTTCAGCTACTCTTTTATCATATTCACAGGGTTGTTCTACTGTAACTCTGGGGTAGATCACTGGAGTATGTAGCTACCCTTATTTCAAGTTTAAATACACAAAGTAAACCAAAAGTAGATAATTTCTTATTTACTTTAGAAATAAGAAGTAGAATATTATATTCATTCTCTTTCTAAACTTGCGTTTGAATCTTATGTAAAGAGTATTATGAATTTTCTTATTATGTGCATATTGTATATGATAAAATGATGGGAAAATTCGTGTTGGGAAGAACAGACAACAGTAGAGGGTCCTACTCCAAATTCCTTGTCCGTGATAGGTCAGCAATAAGATCAGATGAGGTGAGTCAGGCTTTATCCGTCATTTTTTGATGAACATTTTCAGGGATGGGAGATTGCAGAAACTTAATGTTTTCATGTGTTAAAGGCTACTTTGACTAAATCATGACCACATTTGATAAATCTCAATATTTGAGCCTACCCAAAATGCAGTCATTGTTTTTGCTCCTTTCTTTTCCAAGAAATATGTCGTTAGGACAGCTAGTTAATATAAACCACAATTTTTTTTCTTACAGTAGAGCTATATGTGAATTTTCCCTCTTGAACCTCTGAGAAGTTAGTGATTATACTTTTTTTCCATGCATAAAATAGATCTGTGAAGGCAAATTTCTCTTTTCTTTTCAGACAAAGACTGCTGTCCAGGCTCTCATAAGCAAGCACCAAACAATCCCAGGCAACATATGGAAGGCTTTACTGGAGAGATTTGATAAACGTCGTAAAAGTGATTAGAATGCTCATGTTTATTGCATTGGTTTTACAGCATACAGTAAAAAACAATGTCCTATAGCACTGGTGACAGTGTTAACCAGTTTAAATTACAATTTTCAACAGATTTGGTGGAAGAAAACAATTAACCTCTTGAAAGTTACCCCATATCTTTGAGAATATCCTGAAATAAGAAAGATTGATGAAGATTACTTATGTATAATAGCAATGCATCAGCTAAATTCCCCTGACGGAAATCATGCAGCCAAGATTTTCCTGGCTGCTAAAACAAGTTTGTACTTATATCCAAGAGCTTTAGTGGTGTTGTCTAGATCTGTGCGTTTGTGTTTTGAGTACAGTCTGGTCTGAGAGCAGGGCCTCAGGGCTGGTGTTGTCCCACCAGAGACCACCTCATGGGGGGTACCTTCCCTGATGACCCCAAGGAAGACATGTTAGAACAAACTGTCTTGCTTTAGATTATCAGCTACTGCTTACACTATTCTCCTACAGACTACAAAAAGAGACAATCCCATTAAAACGGATGTTAGACTCCTTCAAACACATTAGCTTACTAGTGCGTACCCTGGAAAGCAGAACTGTTTGCATCCAAGAATTCTTCCCCACAGAAAAAGGTTTCTCAAAGACAGGGGGAAAAAAAGATTTAGTTCAGTGTAGAAAACATTGCAAATACATGTAGAAAGTAGTTTCAAGTCTGATCTGGTTTGTGCATTCTCTATTGCACCACACCATAGCTGTTTAGTGGATGAGGTTGCCCCAGCCTGAAAACCCCTGGATATGGTGTGTGCAGTATGGTTGTCCTGTATTTACTCAAATCTCCCAGTGAACAGTCTCAGGGGGAGCTTTCTCAGGCAATGCATCTTTGAGGCTTATCATCATTGGTGGTTTGCCTAAAAATGCAGTACTGCAACACTGCCAGTACACATTGAACCAAAATGCCTGTCTGGAAAGGCAGTCTTGTCTTCCTAATGCAACTTGTGGAAAACTGAAAGTTAATACAAAGCAGAATGTGTTTTTACAGGATGTTGTTACTGGTGGGAGTGGGACAACTTTGTGTTATCTATCGAATATGCCACTAAATGCCACCGAGTCTTAACTTCAAAGACCAAGATAGGTAATTTTTGTGCCTCATTTTCCTTCATGTACTTTTAATATGTATATAATCTTTCAACATCCTAAAAGGTTACATAGCATCTAAGGAAATATAGGTAATGTTTGCCCATTTTTCAGTAGAAAACTAAATCTGCTCATTGGATTAAAATAAATTATTCCCTGACTCTGCCTCTTCACAAGTATTTCTTGCACATCTGGTGAAGGGAGAAGGATGGACTGGTGAGTTATTTCCCTGGACCAAAAAGACAGGAATACTGTCAAATCCTGTCAACCCTCAAATCTGTCTTAAGATACAGGCGTCTTTACTTGAACACCTTCACTCTAACTGCAGTATACAGGCAGAAAGGTTTTTCTCCCAGCAGAGGCTCAGCATGCATAGGAGATGATGAACTAAGCAGATCAAGATGCAGGCTGATATGCCTGGACATAAGCAGGTATTCAAACCATGAAGTGTTACATGCTGCACTGCAGCGATACAAACTAAAATTCAAAGCCTGAGCTTTCAAGGGAGAAAAGGAACTAAAGGAAAAGGTTATAGAATACTAAAATGGACACAGATGAAGAAGCAAGAGGAATTATAAGTAACCTGAGTCTGAAGGCTTTTTTTGTATTGCAGAAACTGTAGAAGGACTAGACAGAATCATTGTCTGACTATCCTGTTTTTCAAGTACGTTAATGCCATCATGGAATGGGTCCAAAGAAGGGAAGTGAAGCTAGTAAAGGGTCTGGAGCACAAGTCTTATGAGGAAAATCTGAGGGTGGTGGGGTTGTTTAGCCTGGATAAAAGGAGCCTTTGTGGGGACCAACACCTTACCTGAAAGCATGGTTGTGGCCAGGTGGGAGTCGGTTTCTACTCCCAGGTAACAAGGGACAGAACAAGAGGAAAAGGAAGCTGTGCTGGGAAAGGTTTAGATGGGATATCAGTAAAAATTTTTTCACTGAAAGGGTTGTCAAGCATTGAAACAGGCTGCCCAGGGCAGTGTGAAGTCACAATTCCAGGAGGTATTTGGAAGATGTGTAGATGTGGCACTTGTGGATATGGTTTTGTAGTGGGCTAGGCGTACTTAGGTTATTGTTTGGACTCAATGGTCTTAAACTTCCTTTCCAACTTAACGATTCTGATTCTGTGACAAGTTAACTAACCACTTTAGTAATCAGAATTTGCACAGCCTCTCAAATGCCATGCTCTCTGATATATGATGCTAGGAGCTGTGCTGCAACTCACAATGAAGCACTAACCTTGGGCAGGAGATATGTAATCAGAGTGCTAATTATCTTTCAAAGCAGATATTTCTGTCTCTATCTGTCAGAGTTCTGGATGACATCTATCTCCTCTATTTCAGCAGTGGTTTATATTTTCTAACAAGGTTTAAGGTTTTCCTGGGCTATTACATCTTCTAGGAGCACCACTCTGCAGCTTCTCTGAGTAAAAAATAATTTCTATTTTTTGTGTTTCTATTTTCTATGTTGTCCTCTGTCACAGCTGTCTAAGAGCATTTTCTGGGGTCTCAAGATGATAGACAAAATTATTACTGAGAAACGAGAGATTTTGAATGATATATGTTATTTTACTAATAAAAAATTGTAAACAATTTTTTCCACAAACATTATAGTACTGCTGTAATAATAAGCAGTTATATTATTTTAGTGGCGCACTCTAGATTTTTACTCTTTTTACAGCAGTATTCTAGAAACTCCAACTAAAAACTGGTGTTAGAGAAATTAGAGTTCTTGTCATACAAATAGAAATGTAATTGCAGATCACTCCCTTGGTGCACTTATTTTTTAGCCTCTCCATCATACAACAGAAAAAGAAATGAAAACCAGCAAAAGACCTGTGCCTGTCTCAAAATGAAAACAGTATTTATGACTTTTGTTAGGTATATTTTGCCCAGTAAATAATGCAGGAAAAATCTGTTTTTGTAGCTTTTTGTGTGTAAGGTTTAACCAGTTCAAACTACAAGATTTTGCACTGGGGAAGAATATGATACTGATAACACAGTAAATGAATAAAATCATAGAATCATAGAATATCTGGAGTTGGAAGGGGCCCAGAAGGATCATCAAGCTCCAGCTCCTGGCCCTCCACAGGACAGACACAAGAGTCACACCATGTGCCTGTCTAAAGTCCTCTTGAGCTCTGGCAGGCTTGGGGCTGTGACCAATTCATTAATTGGATGACAGTGGAAGCAGTTACACAGCAGAGTAAGGAAATAATAACTGCACACTTATTAATTGGAAGACAATGGAAACAGTTACACGGCAAACTGTGTGCAACTGCTCAACTGAGCAGTTGCAGATGTCCATCAGGGAGATGATGTACATGTAGAAGAGAACTGGTCAGAAGGGCACAGCAGGAGGGGATCTGGAAGAGCTGACCAAGTTCATCTCACCGAAGGCTGAGGGCGCAGCCATGGCAGTGTTCCATGCCATCCTAGCAGGTAGGATATATGCATCAATACCCATGCATTTGGAGCTCCATCCAGTGTCACTGGAACACTACTTACTTCTTTGACTGATTTTTTTTTCTTTTTAAATTTTTTTTATATGTAAATCCAGGGATTACATCCACAGCTCTTGGGCAGTCAGGAATGCTGTAACAGCACCGTGAATGCCATGTCCGCACCGCAGTGTCTGGAAGGCTGAGGTACTGAAGTGGGTACCAGGTATGGATGCTGCTGCTGCCGTTGTTGTGGCAACACCAGCGGGGTTGGAGAAGGAGGACTGCAGCCATCTGGAGGTACCGAGGAAGGGGCAGCTGGGTATGCGGTGCACAGGCAGGAGGGTGAACAGTGGGTGCCTGGAGCTGGGGTTGTTTAATCTGGAGAAATGGAGACTCAGGGGTGACCTTATCAATCTTCGCAACTCCCTGAAAGGAGGTTGCAGCCGGCTGGGATTCAGCCTCTTTCCCCAGGCAGGCAGTGACATCATGAGAGGACACAGTCTCCAGCTGGTTTAGGTGGGACATGAGGAGGGATTTCTCCACATTAGGCATTGGAATGGGCTGCCCAGGGGGTGGTGGAGTCTCTGGAGGTGTTTAAGGAAAGGCTGGACGTGGCAGTCAGTGCTGCGGCCCAGCTGTCCAGCTGGTGTTCGGTCATAGGTTGGTCTCCATGATCTCGAAGGTCTTTCCCAGCCCAATCCCCTCAGGAATTCCGTGGTTCCGGGCTGCCGCCCGCGCCGCCAGGCGGCGCCCTCCGCTCCCCCGCCCCGCCCCTCCCGCTGGCGGGGAACGCGCGCCCCCTGGCGGCGCCCAGGCCGTGCCGCCGCGGCGGAAGCGGCGGGCGGTGCGTGCCGCACGCGGGTCCGGGCGGCTGCCGCGCCCCCGGCGGCGCGGAGTTCCCGCGGCCCCGCGCTCCCCCGCCGCCGCCCCCGCTCCGCAGGGCGCCCGCCCACCCCCGCCGCGCCGCCGGGACCGCCCCGGCCCGGCCCGGCCGCCCCGCGGGCACCCGGCCTCCGCGGGGGCGGCGGGCGGAGAGTAAAACCGGCCCCCGGCAGGGACGCGGGGCCGGAGCCGGTCCCGCCGCCGCCAGGGCAAGGTGAGCGGGTGCTGCCGGGCGGGTGGAGGGTCCCGGGCCGGGCCTGGCCCCGCCGCCGCCCCGCGGGTGCCTGGGCGGGAGGTGACTTGCCGTGGTGGCCGCGGTCACCGCCGAGCTCGGGGCCTTGCCTTCGCCACCGGGGCTGCGGGCGGAGCGATGGGAGCCGGGGCCGCTCCGTGGGGCAGCCGGGCCGGGGCCGTGTCCTGCTTGCCCGGAGAGCGAGCCCCGACCCGCTCCGGCTGAAGGAACCTCTGACCGGCCGGCACAGGAGCCCGCCCAGTTCTTGGGCCAAAACAAGGGCTAAAACATCTTCCGACTTCTAGGGTCTCTCCTGTCGTAGGTGACATTTGCAGGATTATCAGGGTCTTCTGGCATTTTTGGTTTGTTTTGGGTTTTTTTTTTGCTGTGCGTGTAGTGGCAGTGCTAATTGAGGTAGAAACGCTCTCCGTAGCCGTGTGTTTCTCTTGGCAGAGACGTGTCGTAGCTGCTGCTTCGCAGCGTCTTTCTAGTTTGGAAACACTGGGATGTCCTCCAGAGGTTTCACTTGAACATTGCATATGCATGCTGAAATCGTGCCGTGTGTCGTTTACAGCGGAGCGTGCTGCTGTCTGTAATCGCTCCTATCCTGATCAGTAGGGTCTCAGTTACCCCAGCATCTCCTGACTGCAGCTGAAGGCCTCCGTTGTAGTTTAGTTAAGGACTTTTCTAGGTCATGTGCCAGAAGTCAGTGACAGAAATTGCGTCTTATCCCTGTTTCCACATCATAAAGCTTGAAGTGTAAGCATAAGTTGGTGTGCACTGTAGTTAGTCAAATGAGAAATTGTGTCTTTGTGAACTAGTGAAAAATGTAAGCTGCTGCATTAGCATGTTAGAACTTAAAAATGTGCATTTTGAACTGCTCAACAGCAAGCTGGAACAGACCAGTGTCATTGTCTGTTAGTGGCATGTAAGAACTATGTTGAACCTGTGTTCAGTGTGGAATTTATGGGCTTTTTTTGGATCATAATCTGCCTTCCCTTCTTCACTGCCATAGTACTCACATTGTGATGACCTTTCTGCTGCTCGTAATGAATGTGGGAAGTAGAATCTTCACAGCAAAGAGACAGGAGGCAACAGACACAAGGTGTAAGGGGAGCTCTAGAACTAGAATAAAGAAAAGTATTTGCACCATGAAGGTATTCAAGCACTGGATTAGGTGACCAAAGAAGTGGTGGGATCTCTGTCCATGGAGATACTACTGGATGGACTGGACTGGATATGTCATTGAACAACCTGAATTAATTGGCTAGTTAGGAAGAGGTTGGACAGTATAACCTCTAGTATCAATTATCCTGTGATACTCCTCAAGATGAGGAAGCAGCATTGTTCAGGGTAGATTTGACTATTCCTAAGGAAGGTCAGTGCTTTAGCTCTTACCTCTGTGGCTGGTAACACAGAATATGTTAGGTCTTGGTTTCTGTTGCAGGTTAGCACATAGATATGCAAGTAAACTTTAAAGACTGTGATGACTGCATTTGAAGTATTGCACTGAACATTACAGGCAAAAGGACACATAATATTTTGCAAGACTGGCATGTGTGAACAGGACTTTAAATTTACTTGATGGAGGGTTTGGGGAAAGCCATAAACCATTTAAAGTATATATTAAGTGGGAGAGTATAGCTATAAGCTTTATTTTAAGCTACATAATCACATCTCAGTTTTGAAAAAAATGCTTCTGGGCCATAACCCATGCTCCATATTGTTCTCTAGGTAGTAGGTGAAGCCATTGGAGAAGTCCAGGTATAACAGACTGATTAATATTGTAGTGTTGAATACTACTCCTAAATCTTGCTTGGTCTCACAAGTTGTGTTTCTTATACTTGCTGTGGGTGTTTGCTGCCTGACAGGTTCTGGAGTTCACCTCTGGCAACTTGAATGAAAAAGAACTTTCTCTTGCTCTCCCACACACTCTTTCCCCCTAATTCACACCACAAAGACAGGTTCATGAATTCAGTGGAGGGCATGTCACTAATCCTATGTGCTTATACGTGGCTGGAGATGAATTGGCTGCCCGTCACACTTGTCCTCAAGAACATGCTGAAGAGCAAAATGTTGTAAGCCTGAATTAGTTTGGAACAGCCATGGATTGTGGGAGCAAAGATCAGCTTTTTTCCCATTAAGAGGAGCTAGTTACCTTGACTAATGTGGGTAGAGGCCAATTTCCAAAACCAAAGGAAAATGGACATCCTTGCTCTGTCAAAATCTGAGGGAAAATTCAGATAGGAAAATAAGTAAAATGAGTTCTACTCTAGTATGTGTTTCAATGTTCCTTAACAAATGTGGAGTAAAACTGATCTGCTTTGTAATTTTTGTTGTCACCAGTGTTCTGAAAGCAATATTTTCTTCTGTATTTTGGTCTCTTGTTTCTTGTAAAAACAGAGCAAGAGTAAAGGAATAGTAGGCATACACGTTTGTCTAGGCATAAGAGCTTTGCAGTCATACCTGCTGTAAGTCACATTCTAATAAACAAAACACAGCAACTTGAAACTTTGATTAGTTTCATTTTTAGAAATGCTGTTCTTCCATTTTTTCTCTACAAGCCTATTTTACAGTTGCAACATTTTTTTCTTCTTGGTCCTGACTAGCAGAACTTGGGATATTGATCAACCTTTTTTTTCTAGCCTAGAATAATTTTTGTACCCAGAGGTACTAGGTTTGCTGTTCAAGCACTAAAATAGCCAAGCATTCAGGCTGTCCTGTATTTGTAAGGTGAAGTGAATAGCAAGTTGTCCCTTAAATTGTACAAAGCTAAGAAAAAAAGTGTTGCTCCAGAGTTACAGTAAGCCTGAAATTGCAGGATTGACTTCTGTGGGCTGGTAACTTTTTAGGAGCAGGCATTGGATTGGAGTGGAGAGATTCTTAGACACAGTAAAGCCAAAGCAGTTAAAACTCTAAAGAGGACTTCTGTGAACTCTTTTCCCTTTTGTCTTTTCTGCTGCCTCTGTGTTGTGCTTTGGGTCTTGACATGTCGCTATTAGTAAATTTCCGGATACAAATTAAGATCTTTCCAGGGCTGAGACTTTCTTATGGGAGAGAATCTTCTTCCTGAGATGTTCTAGAGTTATAGTGAGTGGAAGTGTTCAGTAGGTTTTTCTTAAAGCTCTGGATTTGAGATTGTATTGTTTCCTGTTTTAGTTAGTGCTTGAGAGAAGGTTTTATTTTATTGTAACAATAAATTAGGCTAATCAATTCCACTTTCTGAAATTCAAAAATTCAGTATTAATTGGTATTGGTAACAGTATAAATGTTCTGGGTCTGTGCAAGTTGTACAATTTCCAATGAGATAAAATTCTAGCCTGAAATTAAGCAATTGCACCATTTTTCTCCATTAGAAGTGTCAGCATTTCCAGTACCTAAAAGAAAAGGACTATAAAGATCAAGTAAAAGTTTTGCGATGTGTGAGTTAACAGTGTGAACTGTTGTGAGTTAAAAGGTAACAGTGTGAACTGTTATGTTTCTATTAGGTACTGCTGGGATGTGGTAGATGGTATATGAATAAAATGCATCAGAGAGGTTAATTATATGATTAAACAGTATAGGCAGATCTATATAATATATTAATATACTTTTTAAAAATTTTATTTTAAACAGGAGATGACAGGTGGAAATGAATCCTGTACTGCAGGACCAACATCTATGTCCTATTTAACTTGCCTGACTTACATTCTGGAAGAATGGACTGGTGTGGAGGATATCGGAGATTATCTGAGTTATGCATTCTACATTTTATGGTTGCTTTTTCCACTTGTAGTAGTCTTTGTACTTCCAGGAGTTATTATCATTCTCTTCTATGTTTCCATTCTCTGGCTTCATATTTATAAAAGGAAGAATGAAATAAAGGAAGCTTATTCCCATGACGTTTGGATAGGTGCAAGAGAAATGTTGGCAACCATATGGGATGGACATGGGAGAATATGGCATGGTAAGTGAGATCTGACCTTCCATTAAAAAATTCTGAAGCTCTTGTTCCTCGTTTAGCTTTCAAGATTATCAAGATATGCCTGATTGTTGCTGCTGGTGCATGCCAATTCAGGCCAGTTTTTTTTTTTTTTTCTGTTTTATGAGTGACTGTCAGTGATGCTTGAGACAAAAAAAAAGGACATTGAGACTTTTTTGAATGTAAGTTTTTTGTTGTATGCATTTATTCCTTTGCTGCTATAAAGTGGCATCTCTGTTCTTGTTGAATATATGCAAAATTTTTTTAAGTGCCTTTTTTTCCATTTTTGCTTTTTGTAACAATTCCTGGATTTCCTCATTTGAGGAAGACCTGAAATATGTGTTGTGTTAAAAACTAGATCAAGTAATTGTATCATTTCAGGATTAATATGTGAAGACTAGAAGTTAAATGCCAGTTCCTTGATAGCTAGTATGTCAGCCAGCACGTTAGCATAATTTAATTTCACTTAACCAGTCTTGCATGAAATGCGAAATGATGGCTAAAAGGAGCATTTAGTTGCTTCTTGAAATTACCTTCAGACCCTGACAGTGTTACAGAACTCTACTTTCTTATTTATCTTTATATTTTTGACTGCTACTTTCTCTACTAGAACGTCAAAACTAAGGGCCCTGTTCTTTGTCCTTCTGCTATTATTTCTTTATAAAGACAGACTTAATAAATGATTTGGCTTTTCTCTCTAAGGAAATCATAAGTCTCTTTCAGAGAATTCAGTCTAGATGCAGCTAAAGGAGAAAGAGATACTTAAGAACAATTTACATAAAGAATAAATCCGTGAAAATCATCTCTATTTGTTCTCTAGTCAAAGGGAAGCGGGTTTTCAAGGCATTGATAACCAGATGGTGCAGCAGCTGTATCAGATGGGCTTTGTAAGACTAAGATGTAACTTTCAAATCTAGGAAACTACACTACATCAAAATCAACTGCTACATCAAAGAGCTTAAAATGCTCACTTCACAATAAAAAGATATTTACTTTTTTTTCACAAGAAAATTATTTTTTAGGGCCTTGGCTCTTTTAATCCTTAGTAACTTTTCCTTTTCATAAGGACTGACATTTTATTTGTGCAAGAAGATTTTTATCCGGTCCCTTATTGAGAGCTGTGACTTTTTTCTGCCCTGCCAGCTGCTTCCTTCTTATCTGTACACTTGTCTTGCTAAAGAATTAAATGTTTTCCAGTTATTTTTTCCCCCACTTGATTGATCAGGATATCATAAGAACAACTTTCCATCCTGAAATCTAACAGCATTAATAAAAAAAACAACCCTACAACCTAAAAGCCCCAAACCAACAAACCAACACTGTGTTGCAGCTCCACAGGCATACAAAGTAAAACAGAGGGAGAAGAGCCAAGAGTAACTTCAGATTTAAATTAATGGAATAGGAATTGCAGACTTGATTAACTTTGGAAGAAGTAACAGGATTTGGTTGAAGGGGTTTTTTCTGCGTTTTGTTTTTGATTGTTAACAGTACTACTAGGTGTTAACTTAGTATGTTTTATACTGATGCATTTTGTGTTAATTAAATGTGTTCTGCCCTGTAACTTGAACAGAAATGTGAGGTCAGGAAGAAGCTTATGTGTGTTTATGTATTTTTCAGCTAGATATATATAGTCCCAACTAGCTTTTAGTATATAGTGATGGAAAGCTGGAACAGGTGTAACTTGGAGAGAAGTAGCAAAGATAAACTTCATGTCCTGGAGTAAAAGGAGACATGAAAGTGGGTGCTGTCATGTCAAATCTTCTAAAACAGTCACTGATGGCAATGAACTTTGAGAGGTTAATAATAGCTTGAAATAGTTGTTTCTCCACTCCAGTCCGTATTTTGATTTCTCTTGAATGATTGATTCTGAGGACTTTGCAGCCCTGAAAATAGTGAACTGAAAAAATAAGGATAAATGATACAGTTTGAAATAGTGCAACTGGGTGTTTTGTTTTAATGTTGGGGTTTTTTTGCTCTTTTTCTGTGTGGTTCCTTAAATGAAACTTGTAGTCTCTATGAAGCAACTTGTACTTCTTGTAGATACTGCAAGTTAGCTCTTGTCTTGTCATTGGTCACTTTGCTCTAACCACTTGTCAATCCATGTTGGTTTCACTTTGCCAGCTTGCTGCAAGTTAGTTTATTTGGGATACAATTGTATAAAAATTTAACATCTGTTACATCTTTAACTCCTAACAGGTTATGAGCTGCATGGTGTTGAAAATATTCCTCAAGGACCAGGACTTGTTGTGTTTTATCATGGAGCTACTCCTGTTGACTATATCTATTTCTCAGCTAGACTTCATGTAATGAAGAAGAGGTGCTGCAGCGTAGTAGCTGATCATTTTGTCTTTAGATTACCAGGTAACATACTTCATTATAAACAAGCAGTTTTGGAATTCTTATTTTAATTTTTTAATTGTGTAATTAATAAAAACCATGTTGCGGGAGCCCAGCTTTCAGAACAGACATTCAGACAAATTTAGTGCAAGTTGTGAAACCGAGCGTGTTCTTTACAAACAAGAATGAGACTGGTCCATGCAAGGATGGGACGTAGTCCTGCTTGGGCAGCACCTTCCAATGACTCTAGGGTGTTTAGAAACAAAGAGAAGGGATTGTAGAAGAAGCAATGTTCTCTGTATAAATCATTAGCAAAGATTTCAATAAGACATTAACATAGGCAGAATGAGTGGTGTGAACTGATTAGGAATTAAACTGTTTAGAAAAAATACCCTGTAAGTTAAGAATACTAGCCTGGAGAGACATTGCATTTTCTTACCCCACCCAACTCTTATCCAGTTGAGGCTGGCAGGCAGTGGTACCTGTGCCCAGGAAGACTGTTTCAAGTAGCATCTGTTTTGGAGGAAAGCTAGAGAAGTGTTCAACATGTTTGTGTGAGACATGAGGTGAAGCAGTTAGAAAATGAAAAATATGTTTAGAGCAAGATTTTGGCTGAGTAGCCTAGTGAAATGCACTGCCAGTTGGTGAAATTATTATGTGATGGGTTTGTTTTTTTGTCTGTGTGAAATACAGTAGTACCCTCTTTCTTTCTCAAGTTTGTTTTGTGATTAAAGGCCTATCAATTCACAAAATGAATTACAAGGAGCATTGTGTAGTGTACTGGTGCTGTTAGTAGGACCAACTCATATAAGAAAATATTTTTGTTGGTATAGATTTATTTCAGCCTTAGTCCCTGAAAGGACCTTTTTCATACTGATTACAGTATTGCTTTGCCTCTACGACTGCTTTTGCCAACAGATTCATTTATCAGTGGTTATCAAATCTTTTGCATACAGATGTCTAATATAACCTACTTTGTGATGCAGATTTGGCTCCATATTGTGTCTTTATAGGCACAGATGTTTTATCAAATGGGGCATTATGTTTTACTCCTTTTCTGCTTAAAAATAAGGCTCTAAGTGGGAGTATACTTACAAGTTCCCCAGATATCGTTCAGTAGCATTGCAGAAACATATTGCTGAATGGCTGATCTTGAAGAACTGGTTTTAGTGGTACAACATCTAGCTAACAGCTACAGGCATTCCTCAGGGAATGATACTGAGTCCACTGCTGCTTAGAGTTTTTATAGTACCCCTGGATGAGGACCTGGAGCATGCACAGGAAATTCACTGATGATACCAAACTGGGGGAGCTGCTGATATACTGGGCATTAAAGCTTGTTCTCAGAGTGACTTCATAGAATTCAACTGGTAGAAATATTATGAAGTTCAACAAAAACAAATGTAGATTTGTGCATCTGGGATAGAGCAATTCTGTGCGACTGTTCTCTGGATCAAAGAGGACTTAGGATTCTAGTCGACACCAAGCTGGATGTGAGTTGGCAGTGTGCCCTTACAGCAAAGATGAACTGCATGGTGAGCTTTTTGTAGCATGAATAGTGCTACAATAGTGAAGAATTTTTTTTCCCTTGGTATGGTACCTGTGCAAGCACATCCTGTGACATGGTGTCCAGTTTTGGACTCCCTCATACAAGGTCATCAGTGGATGATGGGGATCTGGAGCACACAGTGTACAAGGATAGGTTGAGAGAACTGGATTTGTTTGGTGTGTTCCAGATAAGGGTGAGGAAAGATACTATTACTGTCTTCAGCGACCTAGTGGGAGGGTGGGGACAAGAGGGAGTCAGACTCTGCTCACAGGTGCACAGTGATAGATTGAGAAGTAACAGAAACAAGTTGCAACACAGGAAATTTTGATTAGACATATGGAAAGGTATTTTACCATGAGAGAGATCAGACACTTGAACAGATTGCTTAGGCAAGTTGAGGAATCTCCATCTTGCAGACTTTCAAAACTCCACTGGGTGGGGCTCTGAATAGCCTGATCTAGTTGAACCCGCTTTGAGTGGGAGGCTGGACTAGATGACCTCCAGAGCTTCCTTCTAATCTACATAATTCTCTGATTCTGTGAAGGAATTAAGGCTGTTCAAGTCCAAAGAGCCCAGAAAATGTTGTGGATTGTTTCAAAATAAGCACAGTAATCTATGACTGGCAACTTGGGTAGATGCTGCTTCCCTTGTGAATCAAACCAGAAAGACTGTGTAATTTTATCCTAATACTAAGGCTGTCTGATCTTGATTAAGTGTTCAGATTAAATGGGATGCTTTTCAGAAGATATTTTAACCAAAAGTTATGCTCAATGCAGGGGAAATGGGAGGGGATGGCAGTGCATTTGGGGAGTCTGTTAGACACATATGGATGTGTCAGAGTTGTGTCAGTATTAAGTATGCTTTTCTTGCATTTTTGGAAAAGAAGGATATGAAATATGGTCATGTAAATTATTTTTTCCTTCTTTCATAACTAGAGGTTAGCCACAGGGAAAAACAAACTCAGTATTCCAGCTTTCTGGTTCCTTTAGACTTTTAGCTGTGTAGTGCTCAGAAAAACATTGATTTCTCTAAGTTTAGGAGAAAGTCTTTTCCCAAAGCATTCAGAGAGGATTGAGATTTCACTTGTGTTCTTCTCCATCATCCTCTGCTATAGTATGGGGCATTTTTGCTTCCTAAAGTCATTTGGAAGCCCTCTTTAAAAGGTTACCTGTTATTTTATGTGACTAAGACAGTCCCTTTCCTGTAATGTTCCAGAGGAAAGGACCTTTGGCTTCTTACATGCACAAGATATTTGTGAAGTATCTTGTGGACTGGATACTCTGCAGATATATTTGTGTGATTAACTACAGTTATGGAAAGTTGGATTCAATAATCTGAATGGTTCCTCTCTGTCTGGGGTCCTAAAGGTCAACCACGGGAATATGATGACATCCTTGCCATCCTGCTATCCAGCAGCTGACAGCCGTGGTGTTACAGTCAAGAGAGAAAAATGTACATAGTGCGCAAATTGAAAGCAGTATTACATGCTTTACTGGGCACTCTCCAAAGAGTTTTCAAACATTTATGCCAATACAGCCTTGTAGAAAATAGGAGAAGAGTATGCTGGGGCAAAGGGCAGAGTTCAGGTTGAACCATGGAATAAAATTAAGTTTGAACTTCTTGGTGTCTGGAAGAACATGTTCTGCATGGCTGAAAAATTGTGTTTAGATAATTCTGAGAGTTGTTTTTGTTTAGAATGGAAAAACAGATTCTTGGTTCCTTTCATGCAGTGCTACCTGGTACTACCCCAGTGTTTCTTCTAACTTTCTGGTGACCTTTGCCTTGGACACAGGTACCCTGGCTGTCCTTTCTGGGCCATTGTGTCAGATTCTGTCTCTCAGCTGCTTTAAGGGAGCCATGTACTTCTTTGGTACTGAAGCAGAGATCTCAATAGTAATGTGTGATCTGCTGGCAGGGCTGTGAAGTACAGCTCAGAATATAAAGTTGATACTATCAATATAAAGTTGATACTAAAGAGAGGAAATACAGCTGAGAAATTTTGTGAGGACTTAAAACCTTCCTGGACAACTATTCTGTAGTACATTTTTTTTTTTTGTCTGTATTCTGTCAATATTCTGTTCTTTTTTTTACTGGTATATGAACTGGACAGACTCATGGTGTTTGTTTTGTCACACACATCCTCCCCCTCATCCCTTCCTCAGTGTATTCAATGCAGAAACAGTGTTGTCACAGTCTTTGCTTCCTTGGAGTCTCTTTTCCTGCTCATCTCAACCCTTTTCATGACTGTTTTGTCTGTCTCCTGAGCTCACTAACCGAAAGTACTTAGAGACAGACAGCTTTTTACCACCAGGTACATTCCAGAGAGCTTCAATTAGTTTGGAAATGTCAAGCATTGTAAAAATCAGCTCTTGAAAATCCCACAAAAAAAAGCACCTGAAAGAAATTAATTTCAATTAGGTAAACTCTATTTAGGTGTTCTCCCATGCAAGTGCTACTTGATGAAAACTGAGTGTCATCAGCAGTGTGTGAGGCAGGCACAGCAAAATATGAGACAGGTGTAATGCAGCATGTGTTCTGTGGCCATGTGTATGGACAGATCCTGACTGGGTATAGAGATGAGTTGGGAGTAATTATACTCACACCAGTTAAAAAGACTTGTTAGAGATCAGAGTTTAGTTAAGAATAAACTAATAATGTCTTGCCTCATGCTTTTCTTCCTAAGCCCTTAGTTTATGCAAGCTATAAGAGAAGACAGACCTCTGTATTCTTAACTTTGTTTGGGCTCTCCTTTAGCAAGTATGTGTGTGTATGTAGCAAATGTGTGTTCATAGTCACAGCTATTCATTTGTTATTAAGAGGCAAACTTAACTAGATCAGTTCTTTGTGGCCGATAAGGTTGTTTGCTTCAATGAGAAACTTCAAGAAAGAGAAGTAATGTTTCCCTTACCGCCCAGTCATCCAAAGTTACCATTTTGGTACTGCTACTACACTACTCATGAAACATAAAGTTTAAAATTTATTGAACCAACCAAACAGGACTTACTTTGTGCAAACAGAGGTCTGTAGTAGTTATGTTCTTTAACGATAGGTTAATTGTCTAAATTGATCAGATGTGTTCCTTTTGATGCTTGTAGCAAATTTTTGATGTTCTGTTTCTTGAGGAGTACAGTCTGAGTGACATGTCAAATTCAAGGTGATATGAGGAGTTTATGTAACCTTAGGTCAAAAACTTCACTTACAATATTAACAGAAGGTGAGTGTACCCAGTTGAGGCTTACCAGATGCCTCTGTATGAAATACCATCCAGACTAAACCAGAGTCAATTGCTGCAATGATCCCTTATGCAGAGAACAATGCATTTTCTTTTTCATTCTCCTTCTTATGCACTACTGTTCTTTACTGAAGTTCACAAAACAGAACCACAACAATTTCCTGGTTTTGCTTCTTGTTGCTCTCTATTTGGGCTGTGCTATGTTTGAGCAGTAGAGCCAGAGCAAGGAGCCAATGCCCTTGAGTCAAATAGTTCCTTCGATGGGACATGTGAAAGATATCGCAGAGTGCTTGGCAGTTCTTTTTCAGTTTAGTCCTGACTGTGGGATGACACTTGACTTTACTATGACAAAAAGCCACTAAAACCCCTAAATCTTCAACTTTGCAAACCAAAATCTGTAAGTGAGACTTAATGTTTCAGTCCCTCTTGGGGCCGGGGGACCACAGCTTATTAGACAATTAAGTTTTAGCCATAGTGTTCCTTGCTGGGAATCTGTACTCAATGGTAGTATGAATTAACATTTTCAGAATTAATGTTATCTTAACCCTACAGGTTTTAGAATACTACTTGAGGTACTTGGAGTTATACATGGACCAAAAGAAGCTTGTATCAGGACTCTGGAGAAGGGCCATCTGTTAGCCATTGCCCCAGGTGGAGTTCGGGAAGCACTCTTCAGTGATGAAATGTACACTATTTTGTGGAGTGATCGCAAGGGCTTTGCTCAGGTGGCCATTGATGCAAAAGTGGTAAGTATGACACATAATGAAAGAGAAGCAAAGAAAGCTAAGTTATTAATACTTTCTTCCAGCGAAAGCTGTTTTGATTATCATATATTTGATGTTAGATTTCTGACAGTCATGAGTATGGTCTACTTGCTCTAACAATTACATTTCAAGACTCTTTTTGTCACTTTTGATAGATAAGAAGGCTTATGAATCAGCTAAGAATAGCGTGGTTAGGAAGTCCAGAGTTCAAAAGAACAAGAGATGGAATACGGGATGGTTTCTCCTTATAAGCATGTGCTGTTTTATACATACCTGGTTGGTATTGTGATGGTCTAGCCCTCCCTGACCAGCATGGTTGGGAAACAACCCTACATACCAGAGTCACAGAATGTGCTGAGTTGGGAGGGACCATCAGGATCATGGAGTCCAACTCATTGTGTCTGTTTGTTCTGTCACTGAAGCGTGGTGTGACCAGCAGGGTATAGACTCACCAACACTTCCTACTGTATTGGTATTTTATGGCAGTGAGGGATGTCCAGGGCTGGTCACTGGTGTGAACTCTTACAGTTCTAATGTACAGCACAGGGCTTGGTCAGCAGGCAGGTAGTTATTCATAGAGGACCAACTGTTGAGGGACAACAGTGTGTGATACATTTGAGTATATTGAACTATTTTAGTAATCATTTCAGAGTCCCTCTTGTTCTAGATTTGTACTTGGAAGATGTGTCATATGTCCATAGGTCTGCATATACCTAATTTAAAAGCAAGTCTCACACCAGGAGTTTTATATTTAGTTACTGTCAAAGACAAACTACTTAAATCTCTGGATTTTATACAGAAATAGAAAATTTTTAAGACCCAAGTGTGCATTGCTTTTCTCACAAGGAAAATAACACTGTTTAAACAGGTACTTTCAACAAGATTAGATTTGACTAATGTATTACAATAGCATATGAAAGGCCATACTTGAGATTCAACTATGATTGTACTAGTTGCATTTATTGTATTGCATGTGTGTTGGTTCCCTTTATGCACTCACAAGGGTCTTGTAGCTTCATCCCCTCTAAAAATAAACCCCAAGAGATGCAGTAAAATAGAAAGAGTGTCAGACACAGGCTGAAACTGGGAAAAACATCTTTATTTAGATTAAAGATGAACTTCTAAGTCACCTTGAATCATAAGCAGAACTCCTCATGGAAAGAAGAATGTGTCTGATACACCAGAAAAATGTGTCTAAAACTGGAGCCTTCAACTTGTTGAAGTTGTCTTATTTCAGCAGGTTTTTGCCAGAATTTCTCACATATAAACAAAAATTTCTACCTCTATGTCAAAAGTAATATGTTCCAAATAAGATTGTTCTAGAATAAATATATTTGTATGCATTCAGTATAGGCAATTGCACTTCTTATCTCTGTAATTATTAACAGACTTTTTTTTTCCTCTCAAAAAACCCCAACTTGAGGCATGTCTGAAAAGTTACATGTGCTAGCTCATCCCCATGCTTGGCATTAAAAAGTTTAAAAGAATTTGAGTTCATGAAAATCCCATGAAGAGTTCTGTATTCATGATAATGCTGTGTACAATGGGCACATACTATAAAATGCTATCAAAAAACTTTATATAGTAGCTGACCCCCTCATAGTTCTTGTAAATCTTGACAGCTGTTTGTAATTTTAAAAACAGCAATAAAAACTTGAAATATTCAACACCATTCCAAGTACTTATCAGCAGAAATAACTCATGGACATGTATTGAATATGACACATCAAGTGTGAAGCAATACCATCAGCACAGAGAGGAATCAGACAAGTTTAGTGTCCCAGTTCCTGTGAATCCTTCCCTTTGAGCATAACTACAAATTAGGTAAGAGGTTTAAGCACTTAACTCACAACTGTGCAAACACTGCTAGATGGGGGAAGGGATGCCTAAAAGTTCCATAGGTTCTGAAATTCTGGACTACTCTAAGAAGATAGACTTGTTGAAACAGTGACTCACTGAAATCTTGTGGTATTCTCCAGTTCAAAACCTCATGGCAGAAGGTCACAGAAGAACTTCAGAATACCTGTTTTACTCTCTATATATTCTTGTCTGAGAAACACTTCTTAAATTAATTTGCCTGTTGAGTTTAAGTGAGTTTTTTAGATAGCTCTATCTTCCTTAAATTCTTAACTATTTTTTTTTCCCTCCTAGCCCATCATTCCTATGTTTACACAAAATATTCGAGAAGGCTTTAGGACATTAGGAGGAATAAGTAAGATATTTTCTATTTTTCTGTAGTTTATTTTTCCATGTGTGTTTAGCCTATCTCTGTAGAAATAATCCTCATATAAGTTTGAGATTTAACACAGCCTTGTTTCTTGATGTTTGCTCTCTGGTAGAGTTCAGAGATATTATTAGGATTTAATATTAGCATTAGATGTGATATTGGCTCGTCTAGGTTATTTTCCACATGACAGTGTTCTTCTGAACAAGCAGTAGAAGAAAGAAAAAAGGACACAGAAAAAGGCAGGAAGATTTAAAGTACTTTTTTCCTCTGCTTATATCTGCTAGGCCAACCCTAGGTTTTCTGCTGTCTGTTAAGAAGCAAAGCAAACAAGTTGGCAACTGATACATTATTCCTGTTCTCCTAAAGCTCTGTGCTTACACTTCTACCTGTACTTAAAATTTGAATGGTTTGAACTACATTTAATCTGTAGTTGCTTTTCTATTCTGCACTAGACCTGTGGTTCCTCACAAAACCTTGCATTTGGCAGCTCTCCTTCCTTTTCTCTATGGAACTTGCAGTCAGAACATGAATAGATGGGTATTCTGTCTGAGGGGTCCATCTCTGGGATGATTAGATGCCCACATCTCTGCTCATTTGCTAGTGTTAAACTCCCTTTTTTTTATATCTCTTAATTACTATCTAGAAGAGGGGCCTGAACATGTTTCCACACCACATGTTCTGCTTCAAGTAAGGATCATCACCTTCATCAGAGGGCTGCAGGGCAACACAGTTCTGTTTCTCTCCCACTCATGCTATATATTGTATGAGAAAGCCAAGGCATCAGATACTGAAGCTGGAATAATTCAAACATTTGTCATGTTGTACAAAAATAAACAGCAATTAATTGTTGCTGTGTTCAGGAGAATCCCAAACAGAAGAAATTGAAGCCAAAATCATTTATGCTACTTGCATTCTACAGCAGAGTTGCTAGAGAAGTGTAATTTCTTGGTCACTGGAGGTGTTACTCCAGTTTCAGTAGTTTTGTCTTTGTTTTTATAGGTTGTGTACAGAAAATTCCACATCTTGAGCAGTAAGGATTTTCTCATGCCACCATGCCAGTTAATGGAGTTTCTGGTCTGAAATTGAGAAAGATAGCATTAGTGCACATTTTTCACAGACTCTTCTGGGTACATTTGGGATAAACACTTAGAAGGTGGCATGTGGAGAAGGATGGGTCCTCCTAGAGCTGTTTGAAATACCTGGTTTTTTTCTCTTTTTATGTTATTTAACTGCAACCATTGTGTGATCTGAAAGAGCAATTCAGTATGTTAGCATGAGTGACTTTTAGGCAGATAAGGCTATTTCTGATCCTATAGACCTCAGTGGGACTGGACATGTAGTTTTCCAATGCTAGTTTCTAATGCTAACCTGTCAAATGAGCTGAACCTGTAACCCGTATTGCATAGGATTCTCTTCCTCTCCAGAGAGGCAGCTATTGAATTTTTCTCCTCTTCTTTCTTCTCGTTTCAGCTACTCTTTGGAGGAAAGATTTCACAACAAGTTAGGGTAGAAATAAGTCTGAGATAATCATTAATGCAGCTTTTAGGAAATAAAAGTCAAGGTAGGATAGCACTTGAGATGACACATTATTTGAGAGTCTGGGTTGGGAGCTAGATTACTTTGCAAGCCAGTTTCAATGTTAAGACATAGTGGGGACAAAAAACTTTACAGAATAATCCCAGTGTCTCTCTTTCTCTCTTCCCTTCTTTACCCTCTCCCACTCTCCTTCTCCCTTCCCCACCTTTCTTTCTCCTGTTTTCAACTACATTTTTTCACACTAGGAATACTTAGGTCACTATATGAGCGTACTAGATTGCCAGTAGTTCCTCTGTATGGGGGGTTTCCTGTCAAGCTTCGTACATTTATTGGAGAACCCATTCCATATGAACCAAATATGACTGCTGAGGAACTAGCTGCAAAGGTAAGATAGTTATTTATATATGTACATTTAAAATGTTGAATGTTATGTAAAAACCACTGCAATAGTCTTGTCAAGTCATTTCTGTCTAGGAACCAGTTACAGAAATTGGTGGAATCATGGTAAGTTTTGTTCTTGCCCAAGTCTGAATGTCATTCTTAGATACCATATTTTTATTACTACAACTTGCAGATGTTCTAGGTATTTTACATTTAATTGCACCCTATATTTGCTTTGAGAAACAATTTGCTTTAAAGACTGAAGAAGTTTGGTCAGACAAGACAGCTCTCAGTTGATAGAGAGAAGCACTTCAACCAAGAAGGAAGCATTCTGCTTCCCGGTGTTTTCAGAAAGATGCTAAGGAAGCCTTTCAAACATAGCAAATCTATGTTCACGAACTGTTGGAATTACACACAATAAAAGAAAAAATGTAAATAATTTAACTGCTTTGTCTAGTGTGTTTCTATTTTGTCCAGTTTCTAGCCCAGCAATTTAACTTCTAAATGTTCCTGTAATTAAGATTTAGATGCCTTTATAGAAAGGATTTCCAGATCCTCATGTTTATTCAGTTTATTAATAGATTTCACAGTGCAGAGACATAAACCAGCTAAGTGGTGGAGCAGTGAGATGGAGTGGGTCGAAGTAGGTATTTTTGAAAACTCCACAGATGGTCACTTACAATATTCTGAAAACTTCACTTGAGAGAGAGACTTTTCTTGATCATGCAGGTGTCAGTTCAGTTGTCTCTCTTTGCCTGTTTGTCCTATGATTAGGTCTCTGCAAAAATACTCTTAAAATGTTTGTCTGCAATATCTTAGGCCCTGGTTATGGAGCACTGGTTGTTTCTTTTGTGGGGTCACTCTGACAGAATTCAGAACTGCTGGCTTTCAGCAGAGAATGTGTTTAAGTTACTTTCAGACAGGCGTTGACATCTTACATTTATGCCAACCCTCACTTTTTTCTGACTTATGTTCAGATTCTGCTAGATAAAGCCCCTAGTGTGCAAATTCCTTAGAATCTTATTCAGATGATTTTGAAGTTGTATCTCATGTTTTGGGCTATGGCACAGTATGCATTTTCCCATTATATAGAGCGAAAAATAAAGCTCAAACTTTTTACCTAATACAAATTTTAGATCTGTAGAGTCACTTTAAGACCAGATGTATGAAGTCCTTCTCCAAGGACATAACAGTTGATCACTTACTTCATATAAACAATGGGAGCTTGTACCAATAAGCATTCTACCAACATCTGCCCTTGCTGACCACTGGTTTACAGAGGCAAATAATTATCAGTTCTTCTGTTTCTGGCCTTAAGAATTCCCTAGCCTGTGCTTGTCTAGGCAGAATAGGAGATGTATTCTCACCACAGCTTTTGCATGTTGCCCTGCTTTTGAATGTTCCCTATAGAGCTTTTATATAATAAAAGTAACTACTGTGCACTCCTTGGCCTGTTTGTTTTTTTTGAGTGAAAGTGGAGTCTGCTGTCACATGCAGCTAAGTGGCCTGAGCATGTGTCACAGGACCAGATCCTTCAGGGGCCTTGGGTCCAGAGGGCATTACTTTGTACAAGTCAAATCTGCTTGGTATTTTCAGTACCTCTTCTGAGCATGTGTAGAAGCAAAGGTGATGCCCCACTGGAAAAGTGTTATTGGTGCAAACCTGGGCATAGGTAGGAATTTGAGTTGCAGTACATCATGCAGCTGTTTAACGTGCTTTATAGACCTAAGTCTCTTCATGAATTTACTCTGTAGTTGTTTGACTTTTGTGTATCACTAATACAGCTTATGAACACAGCTACCACACATAAGAGATACTAGTTTGTTACTCTGTTTCTTGACAGTGTTGTCACAATCACTTCCTGTGGGCTTAAATATGGAAGAACAGTATTTTGAACTTGCAATAGTTCTGTGGTATTTGAAAGGATTAAAAAGAGCCTAGAAATTGTGTTATTATATGAGCAGTATGAAGATGAAGTTTTCTGACCAAAACCTTTTCTCTTTCCCTACAGACAAAAGCAGCAGTCCAAGCTCTCATAGAAAAACATCAGAAAATACCAGGAAATATATTTAGGGCTTTAATGGAACGATTTCAAACACAAAAGAAAGAAGATTAAGGTCTTCTGGACTTAAACTTCTATAACTACTATTTAGTTATAATATTCTTAAAGTTACATTTGTAAATTATTAATTCTTCTAATAATAGGTTTTAAATACTGTCCTAATGATACTGCTGTAAAATTTAAGATAGAAGTCACTTACCCTTGCCCTTTCCCCTCTCCAGTATCAAGCTCAGGAACCCAAACTTCAAATCATTCATAATGGGGCAAATTTTAATTTTTGATAAATGCATTCTTACCTTGGAAATGTCTGGGTTGTTGATTCTGGGTTTTTTTTGTTTGTTTGTTTGTTTTTCCCAAATAATACTGCAAGCCTTTATGTATATGGTCTGTCTTCCTTTTGGTCTGTTATTGTCTCCCATCCCTAACATGATGGATCTCTAACCTGAATGTCAAACCCTGTGCAGAGCTGGAGTCTTACTGTTTTGACTGTCATCATTGTAAGACGGTTTTGTGGGCCAGATGAATGCCATACAACATTATGAGAACTTTGCTAAGATTGTTACTCTCGCACTGCTGGGAAGCAGTCCACCACTTTTGGCCTGCAGAACCTCTCTAGCAGTGCCTGCAAAACCTATGTTGCAAAGTGTTTAGTTTTGCTGGGTGAGCTCAGAAAGTGTTCAGAGGAATGAAAATTGATTAGAGAACTAGAGTGATCCAAGGAGGTTTGTTATGGAAACCACTCCAATGCTGTGGATGGGAACCCTACAACACAACTGCTATTCCAAGCCAAGGCATATTGGATATCTGCCCATGAGTAGAGACTTATCCCATTTATTTCTCAATGAATCTACAAATTCTCTTTTGAAACAATGAGCCAAGCATTCAAACATCAAGAAGTAAAAATGAGAATACCGTTTAGTAATATGAGCTCAAAAATATTTATTTTGATGGAAAGAGAAAATTGTTACAACACTGTAAAAGCAGTAGCTCTTTTGAAAAACAGAATTGGCATTCCCAAATACCTTTAAGATTTAGTATAAGGATAAACTATTAAATATATTCTTTAAACAGTTATTTATGTAAGTTAAATAATGAAGGAGAGGGAGTTCTGTATACTTAAGTGAAAACAATTGAATCAACAGGAGAGAGATGCAAGATTGGGCTTTTGTGCACTAACAGCAAATTATATTTTTTATATGATTTTTATTATATTTTTTTCTTAGCTAAAGCCTATGGTTTTATTGGCCGTATGGAAATATCTGAAATATTTATTCTAATTTCCAGGAATTTTGGTCTACAGTTCTTAAATTAACATCTGGGAACTTTCTAGTTTTGGGATGAGGACAAACTCCTTCAGAAAAAAGAGGTTTTTGCTATATGATGTGGTTGCCTTTCAATATTGTTGGGGTGTGACCTTTTCTTAAAAAAAATACACCTCCCCGAAAAATATCCAATAACCAACATTTGAAGGAGCAGTTGTATTCGATATAGTAGTAATTCCTCTCACCATTTAAGCATATACTTTGCTTTATGCTCTTTTAAATGTGTAAATTAGTGTTGTTGCATAACTGCATGTGGGTGATGCCCTATGTTAGAGAAATACCACTTTATGTGAAATGGTCTGTCAAATGTGGTTCACAAGAAGCAAAAGGCTTACTTACTTTATGATATTATTTTTTACCAAAAACATTTTATGTGGTATTAAATTTTTTATAGCTTTGAAAAGTGTCATGGTATCTAAAAGCAAATGCCCATTCTGAAGTTTTTTCAATGACTTGGGTTTTACTTGAAGGCAAGATTGTGTTCCTTTTAATTTATTGGACTGTGTTTCAAAAATACTGTTAACACAGCATATCATTAAAAATGATAATGCTAAATTCCTGCATTGAAATATAACTTAAGTATGATTTTTTTTACTGTCCATCCCTATAAAAATGTACATCAGTCTGTGCTGTGAACATCTCAAAGCTGAACATATTTTGTGTTGAGTTTGCATGTATGTAAAAGAGAAATCAATCTAAAAGGTTCCGTTAGACATGGACAGACATTGTTACCAGAGATTTTGTAAAATTTATTTTATTAAGTGTGTGGATTATTTGCTGCAGTTTTGTCCCTTTATGTATTGAAAGATCAGTATAAAAATGAAGGGCAGTATTGATACTTTCTAAGTGTTCACATTTGTAGAGGCCTTTCATATTTATTTCTATATATTAAAAATATATAAATGACACCTTTTGAATAAAATTGACAACTAGAACAGACTTCTGAAGTTTGTGTTGTATTTGAACTAAATGGAATGATATGGCCTGTCCTGATGAACCTTGAGTGGTTTTGAGCAGCATGTCCTACCCCTGAGATGCCCTTCTTGCCTTGCAGCGTCTGAATAGGGATGGAAGGAACAAAACCCCATAAGGAATGAAATGAAAAATAATTCAGATACTAGTGGAATAAAGGAAAAAAGTCACATAAACAATAAGGTCTGAGTTTTAATAGTTGCAGTCTGTGCTACAGAGGGCCTTTACAAGCACTGCAGTACCACTTCAGTTAAAAGTTTTGCAATAGAAAATAGGCTATAAATACTGACCAGTAAGGTTTCTTTGTACATATTTGGGGTGTGAATGATTACCTGCTTAGTTTTTTTGAAAAAGAGGCAGACATGGATAGATACTCTCACAAGTAAGGTTATAGACCTGGCATCCTTTTAGCTGATTTGGTTTGCTGTGCATTGAGCAGAAGTATTCAAAGGGAATTTTAGCAGGGTTAGACTAAACCACTGATTGTCTGGGTGGCCTTTAGATACACTGAAGACATTACATGTTTCACCATGTGAGCAGCATAAGCAGGATATGCATTTTTAGGTTGTTCGGAAGTAGAGCAACTGCTGTACTGACCCGTCTTTATCGTTATCTCTCAACAAGACCCAAATCTCCTACTGGCCAATCTACTGTCCTGTTGTGTAATAGCAGAGCTCAGTCTGAACATCTATTATTAGGATGCTTTCACATGAAATTAAGCTCTGCAAATGCAAGGTAGAGCAGTTAATCAGCACTGTCAACACAACTGTGTGGCTCATCCGGTATGGGGTTTGCTGTAAAGTATAGCATTATGTTGCTTCATCCTATTATTCTGTGGAAAAGATACTGCTATGATGACAATGTGTTATGTCTACAGTGCTTAAGCCCATCATGGGATTATTAAGCCCATCATGGGCCCTAGGATGCTTCTCTTGGTGTTATTTGGGCATCAAAAAATTACCATACCAAAAGTAAATGTGGAAGTGAGTGGAATTGCTACATGAGCATAGTAGCGCTGAAAATATATGTTAAGTAAGATCATTCTTAAAAATGTGTCTGCTAAAACTTAGACAATCTGATGACACTTTTCTATTTTCTTTGCTATTTTTTTTTTTTTTTTTTTTAATATACTCAGGACTAGTCAAAATGAGTTATAGTCTCAAAATTATGAAGGCAAGTAGAGGGCCGGGGTATCTCTCGTATGAAGACAGGCTGAGAGATTTGGGGTTATTCAGCCTGGAGAAGAGAAGGCTCCAGAGGGGCACTGGAGCCCCTCCCAGTACCTGAAGGGAGGTACAAGAAAGCTGGAGAGGGACTTTTCACGAGACCATGTATTGGTAGGACAAGGGGGAATGGCTGTAAACCAAAGAGATCAGGTTTAGATTAGATATTAGGGAGAAACTCTTTACTGTGAGAGTGGTGAGACACTGGAACAGATTGCCCAGAAAAAGCTGTGGAGGCCTCATCCCTGGAAGTGTTCAAGGCAAGGCTGGATAGGGCTTTGAGCAACCTGCTCTGGTAGGTGTTCCTGCCCATAACAAAAGGATTGAAACTGGAGAACTTCTTTGAGGACCTCTTCCAAACCAAACTGTTCTATGATTCCATGATACTTTTCTCATCATGGGTTATTTGCAGTAGTATTTGCTGGTCTGCTTTTTTTTTTTTTTTACATAATTTTTGCATTGCACAGATGGTTGCAGATTTGCCACTTGCAACCTTGAATTTTGTCACAGCATACATTGCATGCATACCATATGTTGCTTCCTGAAACATTTTAAAATGGTTAGAATTACCTCTTTATGTCATAAAATTGGTCAGAAAGACGTAACAAACTTTTGAGCTGTAGGGAGCCTTTTCTTAAAACTTGAAGTGCTTACTAACAGTTCTCGCTTTTGCCTGTGTGTGAAACATTACAAGGTGAGATGTCATTTGGAATTAGGCTGCATATATAAAGCAGACCAAATATTTTTTTCCCCACCATGGATCTGAGTCAGCTGTTGTAGATCAGTTCCTGTTCCACTGGGCCTTGTCCCTTGGTACTAGTGACTGTAATAAGTGAATGCAACACAACTCATCAAATCACCTTTGGCTCTTGTTTTCTAGCTAAAACCATGCCATGCTTTGGAAACATGAGATGCCAAAGTTCTGACAAAACCTGTATTATTCAGGCAAGATTTTGAAAGTTTAAAAAAATAAAAGGCAAAAAATTGAGCCATTTTTACCTAATTCCTTTTAATGAGGAACACAATGTCCCAAACATCAGGGAGGGTAGGAATTTACAATTTTGTGTCATCTTTATACAGAATTTGTGGCAGATGAATTGGGATGCAGATGGGGCTAATCTTCATATATTCTGGATGGATTTGCTTTTCTGCTTCATTCAGTAGTGTTTTCTTAGGTCTACACTTTGCTCAGAGCAATTTATTTTTCTTTCAGTTACTTCCAAAGTGGGAACAGAAACAGAGGTCCCGATGAACATTTGTTAGTTCTCTTTTACAGAATCACAGAATCAATTAGGTTGGAACAGACCTTTGAGATTATCAAGTCCAACCTATGACCCAACACCACCATGTCAACCAGACCATGGCACTGAGTGCCACATGTACAATCTTTTTTAAACACCTCCAGGGACGGTGACTCTACCACCTCCCTGGGCAGCCCATTCCAATGCCCAAACACCATTTCTGTGAAGAAATTTTCCCTAATGTCCAACTTAAACCTCCCTGATCTATTTTAAATATGCCAAAGGTACCTAGAAACATTTCTGAGCTCTTATTTCTGTAAGGAAGTTGTCAGCTCTCCAAACACCTCTTTAATGATCAGAATTCTCCCTACATCTGAAAAACACTTTCCTGACTGATCCACCAAAACCTTTGAAGCATCCTGTCCATTTAGAAAAGAATTTATTTTCTTCTGCTCATTATGCTGTGGATTAATTTTCTTAACTAGTGGGCACGACATTTTCAGGTTTGCTTGGTTAATGCTTTTTACCATAGATTTCCACTTTCCAGACAGAAATTTTGGTTTTTGATCAGGCTTTGTGAGAACAAGCTTGAGGGAAAAGGCTGACTGCTGCTTGGCTCAGTCTCTGAAGGCATTAATGAAAATATAAACCAAGTCTCACAGCTGAAGCAAGCACACACATAGCCGAAACTGCTTTTGGAATCTTGACTCTCAGCAATCCTGAGTCACATTTATGAAAATAAAACTTCCTGGCTTCTTTTTCTCCTTGCAAAACCTGGCACCAGCACAGAAGCATGGCAGCTTTGATGGCATTTCCAGGATCAAGGTTGCAGTCTGAGTTGAGCAGTGGTGAGGGCATTTATCCTGGAGGAGCAAGCTCAGGAGAAGACCTCAGGAGCCCTCAGGGCCTGTTTGGAGCAAAGGGTAACTCAGTAGTTACCCTTTGTAGGAAGATGTCTAGTAGTCAGTGCTATATTACACTATCATCAGGTATTGCCACCTGCAGGCTTGTGGTTTCCTCTCAAAAGCGAGCTAGTAGTCATGCTTGCTACCCATTTTGTCTCTGCCACTTGTCTCTGCCAAAATCTTTCATGCATCCATTCCCTGTGATGATACCCAGGGTCTTCACAACAAGGCTTAAATCCCACTAAAGCTTTGCCTTCAGAGGGGGTGAGGCAAGCTCAAGCACTGGTGGTTCCCCTGGCCTGTAGCAGTGTGTGGTGTGGTGCTGCGCTGGGCTGCCTTTGCAGAGCAACCAGGGGAAGAGGCAGCAGCCTGGCTGACCCAGCCACCCTGTTTCCAGTGCCTCTTGTGCCCTGGAATATCTTGTTCAGCTCAGGTGTGGCCAGAGAGACACAGAAAGTTACAGCTGAGGAGCTAATGTCATTAAAGTTCGGGTCTTTGTGCACATCCCACCACCTCCTTAAGATTCTCATACAGGGCAAACTTGATAAGGGAAGGCTGCTTTTCTAAGAGAAGAGGAAGTTTTGTATAAAGAACTTCTGGTATTTTTCTGTCATCCTACACTATGCACAAATACTATTTCTAGGACGCAATAAGTTTCTGCATAGCAGCTGTAATAAATGAACTAATAGACACGCTGTGTGATTTATTCCACCCTTCTGGTGCAGCAAAGGGTCTGAATTTGTGCTGAAACCACTTTTAGATTGGTTTGGTTACTCTGTGCCCAGTGCTTCATTTGCAAAGCTCTCCTTTTGAGCCAGTGGATATACAGTTTGACAAGCATTTATATTTGGAGGATGGCTTTTATTGCTGTCTGCAGCAAGGTTAGTTAGAAGAGCCTAGCATGTGGGCAGCTAAACACCCACCAGGGCCCAAAAACATACTTCAAGAAAGAATGAGAGTAGAAAGCTGACCTAAAAAGGCTGCCAGAAGATCTCAGCTGTTGGAATGCATCAATCCATCTTTAGTTTCTTAACTCATAATATCTTACATTAATGGCTGCAGGGCCAGATACTGTCTGGCTTTATACAGCATAGGTAAGCGTACATGTGGTTTTTTGTGATGCCCTGTTTCTTTGGTATAAACAGGAGCATGGAGCCTACTTCAGCTGCTGATGCAAGGCAAATAGCAGACCATTATTATCTAATCCACCTGGGCTTTGCAAATGTCAAGATGATATCAGTTATGCTTGCTTTGTCATTATTAACTTAAACATTTTTATTAGCTGGTGAACCAAGCAGTTTCTATAGATGTGCTGGTTTCTAAAAGATTGTCCCTTAAACCATGCAGCAAAATTAGATAGCAAGAAAATAATTATTTCTGTAGCCCAAGCTCCTAATTTTAATGCAAATCTCTGCAATTGTTGGAACTAGGTCTATAGGAAATTTTTATCAATTAATTTGCCTTTCTGAGGATCTGGGCCCCATTTCCAATATCTAAAGTAGGAGACAGCATCTATGTTAACAGCATGCTCACATTGGGGCCAGAAACACTCAGGTTCTTGAATAATGTTTCCACCTCAATAAATATTTTTTGTATTA